CAAACTTAAACGCGCAAAGTGAAAAAATTGTGGCTGGATTGACTCTTACAAGCAATGCTAAACCATATTCATATTCCAATATTTCCATTTAAAGTTGTTTACTTTACACATGAAAGCCGTGAACTACTTTTGCAAAGGGATTTGTTCGGATCAAATTTGTGTAAAATGCTTTTTTTGCGAGATGCCCAAAGTATTGTTTAAATTAAGTAAGCAACCATTATAGAAGCCTAAAAATTAAAATTACAGTAATCGCTGTCTTTTCTTCTAAATGTTATTTATTTACTTGAAAACAAAAATGTTGTACCAAAACTTTTATGTGTGCAATCTTTTTAATCGTAGAAGTAGGCTGCAGATAATTTCCTTGTGGGGAATCACTCGACAAGAAAATGAAGCTAGTTTAAATATTTTAGCTTTTAAAAAATTTCTTCAACACCAACGATTGCGAATCATGAAAAAATTATTTCATCGTGAGAAAGCCCTTAATATTTAATTATCCTACTCATGTTGAAAACATGCCTAAATATTGAAAAAAATTAACTTTAGTATAAATAAACTTAATCCTTAATAAAGCACAATTTATTTTTGCCAGCTTTTTTTTACTGAAAATATCATTGTATATGAAATATGAGAAAGCAATCCTCTCGTCATCCTTTCCATAAAATTTCAGAAATTCATTGAAAACTAACCATTAAATGTACTGCGTGACACATAACATATTAAGTTAACGTAGCAAGTGTAGAGCAAATGACTTCCGTCATATTCATATTTCGATATCTGCATTAAATTTTAGTATTAAAAAAAGTAAATTGAAAATACTTGTTCGCAATACTAAAAACAACTTGCATTTCACATTCTTCCTTTTTCTGTTCTATGTCATCCTGAACATATTAATATGTATATTATTTGATAATAATAAATTTTATTAAATGAGCATAAAAGCATATCAAGTGGGATAGATTTTGAATGCATGAAATAAATGTACTGATGCACATATCTTCGTGTAGAGCAATCAGAAATAAACAGATGAGCTGCCAGTGTGAGGGAAAACTTGCTTTCACAGTCTAGAACTGGATCCTGCCTTCTGACACTAATAAAGGAAAGGTTTGTGATTGTCATGCTAATAATTCATATCGTTTCAATTATCATAACATCAATTCATCTCCATTCCATCCCACCAAAATGACTACTCCTCTTTTGCTGCCCTCATTTTCATATGAATTTTCGGAAACATAACTCGCCAAATTCATCAAAAACTTCATCTCCATGTATTTTTCTCTTGCAATCTCAGTAATCGTTATTTTTGCCAAAATCAGTGGTAAAGTTTAATTTTTTAATTTTTGAGATTGCCATACATTCAAAATTTCTGTCTCATATATATATATATAGTATATATATAGTGCCGCGCATATGAACTATATTTTGAGCACTTCAGAAGTATTTTAGAAAGCATGGAATTCATTTGGTGAAATAACAAAAAATTACCAGCAGTTTATAAATAAAAATTATTGGGTAATTTTATTATATTTCAATGTATACTCTGCCAACTTCTTAATTCAAATTAATGCACCGATTCCTGAACCAAGGGCAGTTTATTAGATCTGTGATAAACAAATTTAATTTAGTATTTTCTAGTTTTTGTTATTAATTATAAAATGAAAATAATTTACTACAAGATGCGAAAAATTTGCTTTTATTAAAAAAAAAAACCACAATAATTATAAATTTTATTTTTCTGAGTTGGCAAGTTTGATACCATGATCACAATTTTTAGTGGGAACGACAATATTGCCGGCAACTGAGGAGTAAGTTTCGATTTTGAATTTTTCAAAATACTTTTTTTTCAGATTTTTTCAAATTAAAGATAAGTCACATTGATTACAAATTTATATATTAATTTCCGTAAATTTTGTTTCTTTAGATAAAAATAACAACAATTATCGTTGAATTAGAGAAAAATAAATATCAGTGAGCCTTTTTATGATAAGAGATTTCTGTAGCAGCCAGTTGATAGAGAATCGGATATTAATGAAGTTACATTAATTTTGAAAAATATGTCCAAAATTTAGTTAAAAAATGATCGTTCGTCCCAGGCACAGATTATATGGCAATATTTCAAATCAAATTTCGCTAACGACAACTTCTAACAACGTCACTTCAACAGTTAGCAGTAATAAACATGCAGTTTATTCCAATGGTAACTGACAAACGGAATACACTGCTTCATACTTTTGTTGAATATTATAAGCATTAGAAATCACTATCTGCTCATTCATAAAATTTTCATGTTGTTTAATTAAAAATATCTATTTTGTTTAATTTTTTTAAATTAAATAATCTCTAAGAAATCTAATTTTGAAAATGCATCCAATGAATTCAAGCAATGCAGAATTTATAGCCGCTATTTGCAGGAACTCATGAAACACCACAATTAGAAATGCTTAGTTACGGAAGAAAAGAAAAGCAATCGAAATCAGTATCCAACAGTATGGATAGCAGTAATGATAATTTTGAGGATTTAAAAGGACGTGTATCAGGAGAAACATTAAACCTCATTAAATTACTTCATTCACAACTTATCAATGCAGAACTTCACAAGCTGCGAAAACTTCCGGATGAAAACAAAAGAGAAGAAATCATTCAAGTTTCAGGCAAACTTGAAATCTTGTAATATCAAATGTCATGGAAATAAAGTTTCATATAAAATATTCAGTTTGATACTTTTTTGGCAGTTATGTGGCAAGAAATGAAATTATTAATTTAGTTTTTTTCTTCAGAGAAATGATTGGAAATTGATCATAATTGTAAAGTGTTTACCATAATAGCTTTGTATCATTAAAAAATGATAAATGGTGGAAATGTTAATGATCAAAAAAACCTTTAAATATCGCGCAACTTAAAATATTTCAAATAACATGTTCTATTATTTCAATTTTTTATTCAGCAGATATTGAATAAGCTAGCGATTGCTCTTTAATATCAAGCTAGAATAGCAAATATCTGAAATCATTGTGACAAGTTATCAAGTTGGTATCAAATATGCAAATAACTTTAATTTTTAATTGAAATAAAAGATGACTGACATGTTTAATTAAGTTTTTGTTTTTATGTAAATTTTCAAGCACACTGCGAGACATTGCATTACACATGAGAATTGAGGATGAAAAGACTTCAGTGAATTTGCAATACCTTTTTAAAAATAAGAATACAAGAATAATCAGGAAAACTTGCTTTCTCTGCATTCAAGGCGTGCATTAAGACTGTTCCAAAAGTGCACCTTATCGCAAACTGCAATCAATGCTATTCTCATTGAAGCTCATTTGATTTCTGAACACATCTTATGATATATTTTTTAAAACTGCAGTGTAATGATTCAGACACTAAAAAAATAATACATATTACTGTAATGAGAATCAGCCTCAAAGTGTCAGGTTTTTTTTTTGCAGCAGAGCTTTCAACAATAACTTTATCAGTAATGCATCATTATTTGAATGAACCGAAATATTTCGTACATAATAGCTCGGAAAATTGAGCAACAAATATTTTGTCTTGTATATATCGAGATAGAATTTCGCACATTGCTATAGTGGATTAATAGATCACAGCGGAATTGCTGCAACATTTGATCAGACACTGTTTTAGTTACTAAGTTTTAATGATGATTTCTTTCACAAAATTATGAAAACTATGATCACAATACAAAGTTTTACTTGAATTTTAAAAGCAGTGCTTTTTGTCAGATTGATATGGCAATTTTCTACAAATAAATTGCACTTGAAAGATAAGTAATCTAATAAATAATCTACTGGAAATAGAGAATAAATGGATTGATTATATGATGAGAACAAATTTTCTTTATTTTCAGTTGTTATTTTGCAGTACTTTTGTTTGTTTGTCTTGCAATGAAGAATGTGCAGGAAAAGGTGTTCAAAAACAAAAGAAATTGAAATGTTTGCAGTAAGTTGCCATTATTGTTCAAGTATTTTTGCTTGGATCACTTCGCATACACTTTTCAGTTTCCTATTCGTCTGTTCAACTAAAATCATCATTGTGAGATGCGATCGATGACGATTGTTTAGCTCGTACTTAAATAAATTCAAAGCCGAGAAGCTATGTAGACGAAATCAAGTTTCTCCAACTTGTTTCCGATTTCTTACTATATGTTTTCCACGTTTTTTTTATCTATTTACAACTTACTGATAGTTATTCTGTTTTAATTTTCGCTTGATAATTTTTTTTTGATAAAAAAAACTATAATGTTTACTACGACCTATAACAACTTTAGTTTGATCAAAATCAGCTTGATCAAATTTTTTAAATTGGCATACAACGAATTTTTTGTTGTATGCCAATTTTTGAACATAAAATATAGAAATCCGCAATCATTATTTTATTTTTTTCTGCATAGTGCCGAATCATAACTGAAAAAAAATCTTGCGATTAGATTGACTGATGACTGTTGTAATTTTCATTTCAAATTGATCTGATAATTAATTATAAACCAACGTTACGTAACAATTTTTATACATATATGTATTATATAACAGTGACTTGCTACAGATGCTTAATATTTTTCCGAGTTCATTTCATCACAAAACTGCTTCAAACTTTGTAATATCTTTTAAACTGTTTTTTTGATCTCCAAATCATTTTTTACGCTTTGGCTAATCAATTCAACTCTCTGCCTATTCTTTGCTAAGTCTACGTATTCTAATATGTTATATTCGAAAATATTAATCTAACTTTGGTATGGCTTGCTTGCTACGCTGTGCATTTTTTGCTTCATCATTATAAAACGTTTGTTTTTTTGGATTCCAGCAACATATTACTAAATTATTGATAGCAACTAAAAATAGAGTGAATCAAGGAAGGAAAGAAATATTCCAAAATCTTGCACTTCAGTTTAATCAACAAAATTTACGTTGCAATAAAAATGACGGAATGAAAAATTTTGGTTTTTTAGACAAATGAACCGAAATAAGTAACATTTTTTCATGCTATACAATCAGCTGTTTTTTGGGAAAAATAACTAAAAAACCAAATAAAATTCAGTATTTTGGTTTCAAAAGAATGCTGAAGGCAAAGGAAATGTAATGAATTAAATTAGTTTTATACTAAGAACTTTTTGTGCTATATTTTTACCAAAATATATTTTCTATTCATTAAAGAATCAAGTGATACAAATGAACTATGCATGAATCAGTTAGAATTAAAGCTAATTGGAATTGTTTGGATAAATTATTTTGTCAAGACTGAAATGAAGGCCAAATTTAGTGACAGTAGTAACTGCCATCAACTAATTAACAGCTTGTGAGCAACTGCCCACCTGTCTTGTGCTGCTTTTCTTTTCCAGTCTAATTGTTAAAAACCATTTTCTTATCAGATGGCAAAGGTGAGGAGGAACTTGAAACTTTGGTTTTGCATTTTATTCAACTTCAAGCTTCTGTTTAATCTTGCACTGAGAAGTGGTAAATGGCATACGAGCAAATTTATTATTAGTTTGCTCACATTGAAGCTGATGATTCATGAACTATTACTATTTCTAAAATTTTATTATTAATCTTTTTAAAATTATAATTTTAAATTTTTAAAAAGATTAATAATAAAATTTATTAAATATCAAAGTGCTTAATTTAAAATATTAAGCACTTTGATATTTGAAATCTTTTTCGAAAATAAATTGCTAGTTGTTTGCATTCAGAATATTTAATTAATTGAAGTAAATTTTTTGCACTAATAGTGGAATGTTCTTTGTTTCCTTATTTCAGAAACAGTTCAGTGCAGAAGTAAGATCAAATAAGATCTTTTGATTTCAGTTAATACACCCAAAAATTTTTTGCACCATTATCATATCAAAATTGCTAAAAATTAATTTAATTTGCAGCGTATTGATTAGCAAATATTTAGAAATCTACCGTTTAGAGTACTTTGATTAAAGGTGTTGGTGAAAAAAGAAGAATCTCGATCAACAATTTTCAAGCTTCTGTTTTTATGCGTACCTTATGCAACAACTGTTGACACAAATTATCATTGTCTCTTTGACCATTTGCACCAAAATAGCATTTGGAAAAATAATGGCAGTAAGAAATCAAAAATTCTCTGTTACATCAACGATGGCTAGCAGTAGTAACGTTGATGGTATCATTTTTTGTTTCCATACATCTGCATATAGCAATTTATAAGTTTTAATTCTATTCCAAATTTCTTTTTCCCGAAAACAATTTGTAAAAGTCTTAATTAACAATAAATAATGAGTAAGATCATGCTTATGTAAATTATCTGCAAAAAAATTTCTCAACTCTCAGGTATATCATTGGATATTTCTCTTATCGCATGAGTTGTCATATTTTCATTTCTTGAAAATAATCATAGTTTAAGCCTCATCATGGCCACAAGAAATTTTTAAATTTCTTTTCCATCATGAATAATTTCTGCGAAGCACTCAATCGCATTAATCTATTTGTCTTAAAGTTAACTTTTTGCTGAAGTATTGTCAATTTTGAGGCTTATTTTCTTACAGGCTTCAATATACTGTCTATATTATGAGTTTTTTTATAGAAAGGACAAATTTACAAATCGCGATGACAATTGAATCAATTAGCGATTTCGATCTCAAGCAGTCGGTAAATGATTTCAAAATAGATTACACCAACCTCAAAATTAAATTTTGTATTGTTTACTTATCTTTTTCATTTCGACGCTTATAAAGCTAAAGTATATCTTCACTGCTGAATAAAATCAGTACAAGTATAATTTTTATTCATATCTTAGCGATTATTGCATGCAAGTTTCTGGATCACGATTCTTTTATAGTGAAGAGTATATTTATTTATAATTGTTAATAATTTATACTGCTAAATGACTGAAATATCAGTTTTTGAATAGAAAAAAATTGATGTAATCTATTTTAATTTGCGAAACATTTGCAGAATTTTAAAGCATCTGTGTCTCTACTAGCAGTGATGGAAAAATCGGGCAGACCACCTGGTTCTGTAATTATCAAAAATGATCAGTACATGTATCCATTTAGCGATTTGCAATTCAATGGTGGCAAAGCACAACCAAAAGACTCATACCGACTTATTATTTCCGCTTCTGATGGTACTACATCGACTCGGTCAAGGTTTGATGATAATTCATTACTATTAATTTCAGCATTTTTTTGTTAAGCCTGATCACTTTTTATAATATATTTCTTCACGGAAAATCTAAAAATATCATGCATGACAATTTATTTATTTGAAATCAGTGCATTCTGCGATCAGTATTGTCTGTTTTGACTGAATATAGTAAAGTCTTTGCATTAGATAGTTAGCAACTTATCAGTTACAACATATTTTAAGGGTAACAAAATATTCAAAAATAATCCCTAACTGCTTTACTTTCGGTTATAAATGAACATATTTAATTTTATGTTATATTTGAACAATTTATTTCAAAAATAATATCAAATATTATCTGGTTATTTAATAAATTTTGTATACTAAATGATAATACTTTTTAGTTATGAATTGGAAATTCATTGTTCATTTGATCTAAAACAATATCCATTCGATTCGCATTATTGTCCTATTGATGTTTACACAGGTTTTCACTTCCGCTCCATCTCTTTTTTGATGAATTCAAGATTTAAGTCACTTTCATCTACTCCCTTCAATTTTTGGTTATTTCGACACTTGTCATGTCTCTTGAGCTGGAAATATTGCACAGTCAGGTGTGACTGCAAAAAAAAAAATCAGTAAGAAATTCCTTTAAGTAAATTTTATCTTACTGCTGTATGTTTCATATCATGATTAGTGTGAAGTAACTACATGGCTAGAAACTTTTCTGCTTAAACTAAGCGAAAAATTTTCATTATAAACATCATAATTTTGCAGCTAGACATCCCAGTAGGCGCTTATCACTTTCTTGGTATTATTCAGATGGGGCACGACTAAATGCAAGTGCAGGTCCAGCTGGTATGCATACGTCGTTAGCTCCCAGTGAAATCTGTAATTTTGAAGAAGTGTACGCTGTTACGGAACTGAATGCAGCTTCAGGTTTTATACTTTCCTTTTCATTTTTCAACTCTGGTGAAAAGAAATGAAAGTTAAAGTAAGTACTTGACATTTTTCTATATCCTGATGAAAATTAGAATTTGTTTATAAAAATAATCTTCATGACTGCTTATTAAGTTAATTCCTGCGATATTCAGCAGTGAAAAAGAATGCCCTTCGTTTATACTTGCCAAAATTTGGTAATTAAATATTTCATTGTTTATTTTCTAGCGCGATTTTCATGTCTTCGGGCTCAACTGTACTTTTATCGTCCATTCCATATATCTTTTTTTCGATATTTCTTGCCAACCATAACACTGGTCACAATTACTTGGATCACATTTTACATTGACCGACAGCGTTTGCAATCCCGAATCACTATCTCCGCACTTTCATCTATCCTTACTTTTTTTTGTGTACTTGATTTTACTTTTTTGTTTCTCATTTTGTTGATTATTCAATATATCGCACCTGTCAGAGCTAAACGTGATGGTTCAGTTCAGTCAGTGTGCCTAAAACATAGATAAATATTTTCTTTTTTTATGATTTTGACAAAAACTGCTTGACAGAATTCATTCAATGAGCTATTAGAATTCAGAGGTAGTTAAAATGGTTGCTGTCGGGTGCATAAGGATTTAAAGTTTTTCATTCCTTTGTTTTGTTTACATCTTTCTTTTCCACAGCATTAAGGTGAGTGACAATTTGTTTTTCAGTACAAAAGCCACACACATTTCACAACATAACTATACTGAAATATTTGAAAATGCTGAAACTATACTAAAATATTTGCAATTGACTGGTTCAGGTGGAACCAGTCAATCGCATTCCATCTAATGTGATTTAACACGTTTATTAAATCTTAGATTACCGTCAACGACAATCAGTTATCTATTCGTACAAAATATTTTGCACAGAAATGATGGAAGGTGTCTGTGATGTAGAAGTGAATGTAGAAAACTCACACATATAACTGCAGTACACATTTATTGCTTAACTCTCAAATGAAGAAAATTTTTACTTCAGAATACCTGTCAAAAGTATAATTTTCAGACAATGCTCTGGAATAATGACGTACCATCAACGGCCTATCTAACAGCTGCTGATATTTGGGTGTTTTTATGCAATGTATTCATTTTTCTGTCGTTGTTGGAAGTGGGTATTGACTATTAATTAAAATCTTATTCTTGTGAGTTAACAAAAAAGATTCAGATACACTAAATCCAGGTTTGAGGGTTTCGTTTTTCAATTTATGTATTTCAATATGCGCTTGTTCTTAATGTGTCTTGTCCAGGTTAAGTAGGAATACTTTTTCACAATAGAAGCGTATTGTAAACATAGTATTATGGAAATATGATAATAGGAAATGATTTGTATGTAGTGTCAAAATAGGAACTGAATTATATGGCAGTTTGATTCAAGCTGCTTCATAAGAAACAGAGTGTCTGAACTGCCTTTTCAGCAAACAATGATTGCATTAGTTGTAAGCATGAGCAAAATAATTACTTTGATTACCATAAGAAAAGTACCAAGAAAAACACAGACACAATTTGCAAGTACTTATTAAAAAATGAAAGACTAAACTGAAATGAGTTTAACGATGATATGTGCAGGCTGTAGCAGTGCACATATTAATGAAAATGTCACTGAAGCAACTTCTTCTTGCAAACAAAGATGAAAGGATACGAGCTGAAAGTCGCTATCGCCACGAGAAGCAAGCCGCACGGAGAGGTCATTCATCTAGTCCGAGATCACCTCCTACTGTTAATGGACGAATCTTCGAAATAAAACATATCGATCATGTTTGTTTACTTTATTTTCAAGTTCAGATTGTTTGTACGAATAACTTACTCAAACAACACTTCTCATTCGTTAATTTAACTGCTAAATCTACTAAGCATCTTCAGGCATTCCGTATTTCTTCTGCAAGCCACTACTTCAATTTACCAATAATAATAAATTGCAAACTTGCTTCATGGAATGATTAAGCAACATCATAACGAAATTCACAAATTCGTTATTATTTAGTTGTTAGCACTGTATTTAAGAATTCTGTTCATTTACTGCTCATTCCCTTCAAAGCAACAATACTTTTACCTACGAACAGATAGTCACAAAAACTAGAAAATGTTTTGCAGGACTTCCTTGGTTCAACATCAACATCCAACTACGAAGCCTTAATAAATGATTACTTCCATCGTTGGTCGGATTACTACTCAGTGACAGCAGCAAGAATTGATTTATCAGCACGTATCATAATACCTACTGCTTATTGCATCGCTGCAACACTGTATTTTTCTTTTTATTTATTCCTCTAATTTTTTAATGAGATGGATTACCCTGCATTTAAATTGTTGATTTCTAATTTACTTCCTAAACATTAACTGATAACTTTCACTAAATTTCAAAAAATCTAGACTCATTTGACTTATGTATGCGGAAGAACATAACGCTATGGTCAGTAGTATATGGGAAGGGAACAAACTCCGGTACACATGTCAAATTTAAGTTCGCTCAGTAAGCTTTGTCACCTACTGTGCTGGCCGAAAAAAAAGCTAACTGTACAACAGAGCATAAGCCTACAAATAGTGTTCCGTATTAACAATGTTCCTATATTCATGTCAAGAATATTCCTTTAGCAGAAAAATTCGTGTCCTTGTAGAAGTAACTGTACTGAATTCAGACTTGAGTATTTAAACATAAAATTATTCCTTTGGTCACATAAAACTAAAAATACAAGTTAAATAAAAGAGAAACTTTACATCACTGGTGTTATTTACAACTCATTTCCTTCACAAGCTAACATTTTCAATAATAAAGATACTAATTCTCATATCACATATTGATACTTTACATGTACTTGAAGAGGGATAGAAACATAATCACTGATGCATTGGCTAGTTCTTGATATCTTCTTTGTGAGCACTAATTAAATTTTACTCGTATGACATGTACTTTAAATGAACAGACAATTTAGTTTCCTAATCAAAACATTTACTGTGAATAGATTTTATTTCACTTCTAGGTATATTTATCTCAAAACCTAAATAAAAAAAGTAAATTTAAGTAAATGAAAAAAGGCGTTCATTAACTGAAAGTCAGTTTTCGAAAACATGAAAATTAACAGTAATCCAACACTAACTAACCGAAAAGGCACGAGTGCTTCATAGTCATTTGACTTGAATAAAAAGATGAACGGAATTCTTCTAGTTTCTGTAAAGAAATAAATTCATATTAAGACAAAAGAACAATGCAAAACAAACGTCACGATGTTGTTACCAGAATGAAGCATAATCATATATTACAAAACGATATTGATAATGTAGTGCATGTATATATACTTATATATCTTCATAAGCAATGTTGGATATACGTTAACGAACTTTTTTGATTCGCAAAATTTACAGAAATGTTTAACACTAAAGATTAAACTCTATATTTTGTTGCTCTTAATATATTTCTCAAAATATAACGGAAATACAGTTACGAAAGAATTAACAAAAGACGCGATTGGATTCAAACTTCCTACGCTCCATTTCCAAACTGCCAAATAAAGTACTATAAGCGTTTCTGTAAGCATTTGAATGTACACCAACATTATCAGTTTCAAAATCCTGAAGCAGAAGGGTCTCAAACATGGATCATTCAGATGAGCGCGCCACAACAGATTTTGGTCTTTAAGCAGAAAATGAAAAAATAAAGCAATAAAATTGGAAATAGTAAGTATAAAACAATAAAACCAAGATAAAAGGCATAAACTCAGAAACTAAATAGAACCGGTATTTACCTTCGCTTTTTTAACAGCAACGCTCCTTATATTATTAAATAAAGTTGGAAGCGGCTTTCCCGGATTGTGCTTTGACCAAAAACGATTAATTCTTAATTTTAGCTGAAATTAAATAAGCATAACAAAGCATCGTAACATTCAACAAGTGTACGGTAATAATAAGGGAAAGAAAATGACTTACATCATTGATTTTATAATTGACATTCTGAACATCCAAATAATATTGATGCTCTTCAATTAACTGAGTTTTTTTCTTTTTATTAAAATCTATTATATAAGGCACTTGGTATTTACGAGCTTCAGCTATGACACATTCCGCTTCTCTAGTCAATTTATCAAGTTCATCTTTGTATGAACCTTGAGCAGCATCTAATGTCAATGGGCCATTAATTTCATTTGAAATATTCAACAGTCCTGTACACGACAACAGTTGTAGCATACCTTGTACCTAAAAGTACTGGAAGTTGAGGATTCATTGCTTGTTTCTGTTTTATATCTAGTACGGCTTCAAAAACTTTTAATTTAGTAATCAATTAAGTTATACTCTCGGAGATTTTAATGTCGAAACGACTTCGACTTCATAAGAGAATTGAGAAAGATCAAAAATGCAACCTTTAAATAACGTATTTTTTCATTCGCTTGTCTGAGAGCATTCTGATTTTCAGCCAGTGCATTTTCAAGAAAATTGACTTCTGCGACGTTAGCAAATGAATTATTACCCAGAATAAACGAGTTTGGTGATGATGAAATTGAAGAATGGAGAGTGCTGCTCAAATTCTTTAAAAAAATGTAATTAAAATTATATGAAACAGATGCATAGGATGCAAAAAATATCAAAAAAAGCAAACCATATAAAATAGCAGATGAATGACGAGAACTACTTCTAATTGGATGCTGATGAGGCCAAATAAAGATTACTTTCTTACTGTATTGCAATGGAGGTACAGCCTCTTATTCAAAAATGTTTGTCGAGGAAAAAATTTTCGTATTTCAGGAAAGTTTGCAGTCATGTTAGAATAATAGCACTGCTATAATTTTCATAAGTAAGCCTGCTGCTTCAAATATTTAAATGCAATGTTTCAAAACATAAAATGAGCACCATCAACAGCGCTTTCCTGCTCATGCTTTTCGCTCGTTCTTTCAATTCGAAATTTTCTTTCTCGCAAGCTTCCAAGTCTCTTTGTATGGTATCCATTGTCTCCTCATATTCACTGAAAAAAGAAAAAATAGCTCCAAGTTAATGTTAGCAAAGTCTACTTTAAAAGCGACAGAAATAAGTTAAAACCACATAAAAGTGGAGACAAATTATAGGACTGAATAGTTTTCATTACATTTCATGGTAGCAATATATAATCAATATTTACATTCTTCGTTTGGTCAATTCGTTTTGTAGCTGATCACAACGAGATTTCAACACTGATAATTGCGATGCATCTGCTTTACCTGATGCTCCCGTCTTTTTATCTGCCATTTCTAAGCGAAGCTGAAACAAGCAAAATCTAGCACATTGTAATATACGCATAAGCGAGGTACCACAATTATTATTATTGTAGGGCCTTATAAGCAGTTTCAAATATTAATTAAACAGATGGTCGATCATTCTTTGATTATATTGCGTCTGATCAGGAATATTTTCAAAAGATACTCTGTATCTGCTAATTTCATCAGCTCTTGTTCGAAGTGCTTTTTTCAAGTCAGATATGTCATTTTCTTTCTTTTCGATTTGCCAGCGAAGCCCTTCAACTTCCATAACATCTTGCTTACGAATGTGAGCACGTTCCAAAAGTGGTGGAAATGGCTAGAATTATATTTCCCTTATAATGGTACGAGTTTATCTACATGCATACTCTGCATAACATCATTAATAAAATGAGGAGTAGATAAAAATGTTAGTTTTATGATGTTTTTTACCTTTTTATTACTTCCCTCTACTTCCAGATTTCCACTGTCGAAATCTACAGCTAATTTTTCAAATTCTGATTTCAATGTTACAATGTAACTCCTGAAGAAAAAATTTTACAAAAAGTATTCTGAAATGTATAACAGACATTATATTTCAAATACACTTTTAAAGTTTGTGTTTTGTGAAGTGGTTTCAAAAACCATACTTGATCAATTCCTGGGCTGTCAAACTATGAGCATGGCCATTTATTTTGTCAACAGCACTCTGCAACATTTCTTCAATACGGTCACTTTCTAATCCTTCAGCATCTGTAAAACTCGCAAGTTGTTTCAACTGAAACGTTTTGATATACGAACAACAATTATGATACGTAAAAACGCCCAAAAAGAATCTAAATATTTACCAGTATGTCCACATAACTGGAGACTTGCTGTAGCACAAATACAGTCCAAAATATTGGCAACTTTCCCAAGTGTATTAATTGTATTTAATAAACGATCATCAATCTAAAGGAAAATGTTATAAATAATACCAAAATGATTCTATATTTTTCTTTAAATCATCAAATGAATGATGCATCCCATGAATAATACATAAAGTTAACAAAACAAAAGCGGACCAACTGATTTGTTATCATTTCATTTTCTGCTGGGATACGATTTCTGCAACGAATTATCAACTGCTCACATTCCGTAATTAACGTCATTATTGAAATAGCAAAGAAATGCATCTCACTTTTCTCATTACCAGGCTTAAATTGTTCTGATAAAAATAATGAAGCTTTCTGTTATGATACACTGTCTTAATATAGAACGAAGAGAATCATAATATACTCCAGAAATTCATAAATTTATAAATGAAAGATATGCAAAACAAAAAAAAGTTTCGTTGAACTATCGAAATAAGTGATTAAAATCATTCTTCAGAGAACAAATTTTTTTCGGTTAGAGTAAAACTAACGAGTAAAAAGTATAGAAAACGCTGGGTATTTATTTTCATCCAGCTCATACCAGAAAGGAACTGAGTAATAATATCAGAAAAACTCTGTTTTACATCATATGTTTCTCCACTCATGTGTACCGAGAAAATATTCTGAAAAGCCTCTTAATTTGAAAATAAAATAAATGAACTTTCAGAGATAACTGAAGCTTTCATTTCTTCTGTGCTTGAAAAACGGTGATTATTACAAAATCGTCCTTGACCATTAAAAAACGTTTTAAAAATAATTCAAGATAAAAAAATGCACTACCTTAATGTGATAAATGTTGAATAAAATTTTACTTGGAAATATAATACGCCTTTTTCAAGATTCGCTGAGGGTGTATTCTCATCAAGGCAACTTGTTTTCAACAAATCAATGTACTGATCGATCATCCTTTCTTGTATTTGAATTTCAAGCTGTAGCTGAGCTAACCGTGAAAGTCTTTCCACTGAACAGCTTTGTATGGCACTGAAACAATCACTATAAAATTGATTAAACTTTGAGATTTTATGTGTGAGTTTTACTGGTTCCACATCGGTAAACGTCAACGAGTCACTCAGTGATGTATTTGATCATCTTAGAAACAACTGAACACCATTTACAGTTTTTTCAAACTGTAACTATAAAACTTAATATACATAGCTCGGTTTCGGTGAGTTGCCAAGCAATTGAGCAGCCAGCTAGTTGATCCATATCTCAAAGCAGAAATATATACCTATACATATATGCGTCGTATACGGAGGTTAATTTTCTTTATTGTTTTATTAATTTTGGCACTAGATCGTATTCCAGCACTCTCACCGTACTTGTTCCGCGCTCAGATTTGTTGTGCTGATTTCCGTCGTTTCATCTTCATGCAATCTAGTGCTCATCGAATGAGATGCTTTTGAGCTCTTCTTGAGCGTCATCAGTTGAATACATGTCAGGACGTGATCAAATTCCTGATCTCCCTCGCGCAGCGTTTGTGGAAGTTCATTACAATCCCATCCCAAGTTATCGCATACGGAATGATTTTGGTCCTGCATTTCATCTCTGCTCCGAGTTTATTATCCAGTAGATTATATCCTCGCTTTTTCTCGTTCTCGACTGCTATCAACCTGCCCTGGACTAGTAATGGCAACCTCAATCAGGATTACTCCATTTAGCTTCCTGCCGTGGAACATGATATGCGGTCGATCCGAACTTACCTTCATAGCTGTTCTTACTTGCGTATCGAATTTGATCTCTACATTCTTATTCGCGAGCTCCTGAACAGAATAGCTTCGCATGCACGGGAATGTTCTCAGACTATAATTTTTGCAGAGTTCCAAATAGATGCATCACAGGACCTCATTGTTCCTTCCACTAAAATCGTGATATAACATTTTTTTTGCACTGCGTTGCTAGATGGTTCACCTTTTTCATATGTTTCCCACAATGTGGGTACATACTTTTTCAACTCCAAGCACATTTCTATCTTCGAGATGCCAGTATCGTACTTCATCTTGCGCGATATTTCCGCATTGCAGCCACACTGATAAATCAGCCATGGAAGACAGTTTATTCCTTCGCATCTTTTATAGCATAGCATAATGGATTTTTTTTTTTTAATTCGCTACACAAGAGCGCCTTCTAAGCTGCAAATACGTTTTCGGTGGTTGAATTTTCTACGAGGTTGTGCCTAGTCTTTAGATAGGGCATAATAATGATATGAGACAGTTACTGAATATAAAATTCATAACCACCTGCACAGTTGGGAGCTGGAACCACAAGACTTCAAGCTCGAGCCAATAAACTCCAAGGCTATAGATCACGATATCATACAGTTGCTAATCAAATACAGAATTCACAAGCAACCTGCATGCTTGGAAAGACTGCATCTGCCAAAGGACGAGCTAGGACGTGAATTTCATAATGTTGAGCAAAGAGTGAGCTTATGCTTCTCCAACTACATAATGTTTTTCTTGATACCGCGCTCATATTTGCCAGCAGGGTAGGGATTGTGAAGCAAAAGAAAGCTCATCAGCACATTCTTAGCAATTGTTCGAAAATCCTCTGAATCTAATTTAAGCACCCTAGCATGAGAATTGGACCTGTGGCGTGCTCGTGGTTTTATAAAGTTTTCACCATTCAGTGTAGTTTTGGACAACAGATCAATTCTCTGCTCTGAGTTTATCGTAGCTCTCACAGAGGTGCACCAGTCGTCTTCCACTATTCCAAGGTTGTACTCTTGAATTCCTTCCAATACCGCCGCTTTATCAGCGTATACCTCGGTGTAAGTGGCTGACTTTTTTGATTCCACTCTAATCCTATCACATCAAGAAACCTCTTAACTTCTTCAGCTATAAATTTCATGATACACTTGTAGTCGCATAGACCATATATGATCATCCACAAACAATAGATAGTTAATCATGTGCATTTCTTGATCAGTGGAACCGCCATCTTTGGGTACCTTATATTGAGTTGACGGCTCAACTGGTCCATACACAGTACGAATAGCAGCGGAGAAAGGCTATCACTTTGGAGAATTCCTCGTTTTTTTTTCTTAATTACAGTTTCTTCATACTTTTTAGTACAGCTGCTCATCTGGATGTGATACTTCTCAGAAACCTGCTGATCCACGTTCGCATGTTAAGTTGTCCAATGCACTTAATCAGGTACTCGTATTCAGATTAATCAAACACTCTTTTAATGTCATATTACACAGTATATAAATGACTCCCATGCTCTCTGCAACACCAGATTCAACAGCGCACCTTAAACCTGGGCAAGAACCTTAATCTCCTTCTTTGTTTTCTTGATTCTCACGTTGGATTGTGTTCCGGCACTCAAATCTGCTGGTTATCGTATACTGGTCGTGTGTTTTCCCATGTACTTCACGGAGTTTTCTTCAAATATCTCACCTGTTTTCCATTTACTTTCCTTTATGATTCCAGGCTCCATTTATTTCCGTTTATCCTTCATTTACTGCTTTCTGATACAATTAGTTGACGGCTCGACTCCTCAGCAGAGCCGAGCATATATAAATATATAAATTCCTGCGTTCTGCGGATCCCACAATATAAATTACCTGATTATTTCCAATACTAAAAAAGATATTTATAGTGATAGAACTGAAGTACCTTCCGAATTTCCGTACTACACTTTCAAATGAGTTTAATAAATAATTGAATTTTGCACATAGCGCCCACTGTTCAGCCTTGTGCGTTTTTGTTACATGCTCGCGTCGCAAACCGCCAGGTACAGGAGGATACTGCAAAAAATATGTCATGAAATCATTAACAATTATCAACAACAAAAAGAAAAATGGGATAAAAAGCAAAACAAGTGAAAAGAGAGATGGACCTTATCATTTATTAATTTAGCCAAGACGACCGCTTTTTCATACAGTCGAGGGAACAGCACATTCAATATGATTACATCATCATCACCTGCCATAAAATATTTAACGTATTTTTGCAAAACGACAAACAATCACTTCACTAAGATAGTTTTTTAAATTACAGCATGGGTTTATCGATAAACCTGACAAATTTATGTGCATGTGCAGTCATGAACTAAGAAAGTTGACGATAAACTAAAAGGTCTGTGAATGAAAGAATTGGGGATGAAACAAAAATAATACTGATAGAAAACATAGCCGTAAGCTGGAGTTTTATAACTGACCTCCAGGTTTCGTAAAATTTTCCGGCATGAAAGCTTTTAAATATTCAATATGTTGAAGAGCGAATCTAAACTCCAGTGATTTTATTTCTGCGTCGACAATCTGAATTTTCGAAAAAAAATCATGAAATTACACTGGAATAGCAAGTTTGGGAGCAATATCCACTGGCAGCCTTTACTGAGTGTAAATATATTTTAAATCAACAATACATTAACAGACTGATACATTGAACTTACTTCTGAGAAAGTTCGTGCTGCGACGAAACCAGCACTTGGCATTTCTGAAGTAGTGTTCCCTTCTTCCAAAAATTTTAATCGCTCCAAAACACGCAGATGCTGAAAGCACTTCACTGAAACATTTGAAGAGGCGCTGACATTTAAAGAATGTGGATAGTATCCACAAGATATCCACACAACTTCATACTTAATAGACAAAATTTGAGTGAAGGTAAATAGTTAAATAAAAGACACTACTTTTATAATGCTTGAAAATATTAAACGTCGTTTGAATTTTGATGGCGAAGAAAAGGAGAGTGGTATAAGAAGGATAACTGTTTTTAGACTATATTACTCAGAATAATTACATAAATGAACCAGTCTCAACCGCTATATAATTAATGTAAGTTCCTTGTTCACCTCATCATAGCGTTCCTGTATTTCTTCATTCAGATCACTAACTTTCTTACGAAACATAAGAATCATTTTTTCGTAATCTTCTGCTTGGGCATTACAAGTTTTGATTTGAAAAAGTAACTAAAAAGTGTGATTTTTCATTCCAGTAAACTCGAACATTTATTACTTTAAATATCAGTTTTACAAAATAATTTTTTATGAATCACATGAAAATTTCAAAAAAATGGAGGTACCTCATTTATTTTACCAAATGCTTGATCAAGTTCTTCCCTTAATTCTTTTTCAGCGTCTTTTTGGGTCTCTAAAATTTCTTCATCCATCACACGAATGGCTTCAAAATCAGCAATCGTTTCCTCCAAGGTTCTGTATAATAACGTTGTAACGAAAAATCTTTGAAATTATCAATATTACTAGCAAAATAAATCCAAACATGATATTATTAAATCCAATTACCAAGATACAAAAGTAAAAAATTTCAGTACCGACACAGGAAGCAAACCTCTGGAACCAATGATGTTTCTCAGAAAATAGATTACCTAATTTTTTCTTCCATCTCCAAATTCTTATCTGTTAATGTCTCTATCATTTTTTCACTTCCCATTGCTAAATCAACCTGCAAAACGAATGCCTTATTTGATTTTGGAAATAATTCACAATTCGAGGTTGAAAGATTATAAATAAATATGTCATCTTCCCACAGGAACCAAAAATCGCTTTAATAACTTATTTATTAAAGCAAAAAAGTGGCAGTTAGAGCTATATCTATTAAGGATTAATTAGTTACTAAAACATTTTATTTTGCTTTTACACAGCATAAGCAACACGCTGGATAAGCGAGTTTAATATAGAAAATAAACGTAGTGCTAGGCAATGTGATCATTTGAAGCACTGAACCTGGAGAAATCTGAAATCGAAATTTTTTCTAAAACAACTGACATCTACAAACAAATTTTGATAGCATTTGTGCTTCAATAACTTAGAAAAATATCTATGCAATTTTAAACATCTAGATTACCGCACAGAGTACTATATATATATAAGCATATCTCACCCGTTCTCTTAACTCTGTTATTGTATTCTCGTAAACAGTTGCGTCTTTGTTTATTTTTTCACATAATTTGGTCAAAGAAGCCAGTTCATTCTTCAGCTTTTCATTTTCTTGACTTATCTCTTGCTTATCAACAACCATTTGCCCCGTGACATCCCGCATCCTAACAATTAATGCTTATTAAAACCAAGCTCTCAAGCATCTGATCTGTCACAGAAATTAAAAACTTTCGATTATCACCTTATTAATGCTTCACGAAGTTTTTCATTCTGTTGTTCAAGTTGTTTCATTTGCACACTATTACCCTGCAATACTTGCACTTTGCAATTAAATTATTTTTACTGAATAAAAAAATTCTATTTAGCTCACCAAATACTGCAGAATTTTCTGATGATGAAAGTAAAACTTGTTAGATAAACATACTGTCAACAAATTGTCACCAGCTTGTTCCATTTCTGTTTGCAGCAATTTTAATTCGATTTCCAATGTCTCTGCCCGCTGCTTTTCAGCTTCAACTTCCGCCTGCAAGAATAATATTAAAAAGGCACGAGAATGAAAAATCATGAGTCACTTTCAAAAGTGAACTGCTCACAAAATTGTGTTATTCACTGCCTATTCCTATCTGCCCAAAATATTCTAAACTAAAAACTACGACGGGTTGTAATTTCCTAAAAGGGTAACAAAAATTAATAATGTTATCTGATGCTGTAAATAAAATTCATAATAATGTATAGCCTGATATAGGAGATTATTTTATATTAAGAACCATTATAGTACAAAAACTGAATTTTTCAATGACACTCTGAATGAAACTTTTACTATTAATGAAAATATGCCTGAAAATAGAAAACCGTACTTACTTGAAGTATGTCCGCCTTTTCTTCTGCCATCTCTTTTTCAATTGTTATTAGTTCAAGGCGCTCTTCAATTTCTTTAAGATCATCATTTTCGTTTCCCTTTGAACGAAGAGCTTCTCGCAATTCCTATATATCAGTTAGTTAAACTATGCAAACATATTTAGTCACAATAATTCTGAGTGATATACTTATTTTTCCTCAACACAAATTTGACACACCTTTTCTTTTTCTTGCAATTTTCGCTGCAAATTTGTGTGTTCCTCAAGTATTTTGGCTTTAAACTGAAGCAAAGTGTCCAACTGTATTCGATTACGTTCAAATTCAATTAGCTTTATATGATCTTCTTTTCTTCTAAATCTGAAAATGAATACAGCATGATTTTGGCGATAATTGAATAACTATCCCAAAAACTACCTTAAACTTTCGATCTTTTCAGTAAGATCCTTATGTTGTATGCGGAGCCATTGGAGCTCATTGCATTCATCCATACCAGATGGTAATACAACAGGAGCCAATAGTGGTGACTTGAAAAACAAAAAATTTAACTGTTGAATGTTTAAAAATAGTCAATAATGTTTTAACTATTGAAACTGCTTTAATGGCAATAAAATAAAAGCTACTAATTTGATTAATGCAGTTCAATATCATGCATAAGATGCATCTATATATATTCTACCTTCCCTAATGCTTTTACAGAATCTATAAATTGAAACCTCTTCCATCTTCTTAACAATGCTCTTCACATTTTCTGATACTGGTAAATTCTCTGAATCATTCAAGTCATTCACTTCAATATCCAGTTTCTTCCCCGAAGGATATTTCGTAACAGATACACCAAACTTTTGAGTAGTTTCAGCACTTTGAAACTTAAAAGATGTATCATAATCTTCCCATAGAGTAGTAAATTAACTGCTAAATTGTGATAAAATGCTCCATAAGTAATTAAAAATGATTACCTCTTCAACTGTCTTAGATGATTTCGGGTTAAATTTACTAACAATATCTTCCTTGGAATATATTTTTGTAAGCTGAGTTTTTCCTACATTTTTCAGTTTCTCTGTAGAAGAGGAAGGTGTAATTCTAGGAGAGCTCTGAAAATCGAGAGAAATTTTTTAAACGATTTTGATTCCTAAAACACAATTTAAAATAAGTTGAAATCGTACATAAGGAGAGTTTTTGCTTTTCATGTCTTTACGAATAGTAGTAGGTATGCGCATGCCAGATTTCCCTCGACCTTCTATACGTACCTAAAATAAATATTTAATATGAATGAGAAAAATTTCTAACGATGCATTCAAATAATGTTTCGGAAATTTCAGTCTACTTGTCGCAATTACTAACGCAAAAAGCAGTCAACTGACGAAAAAACCTTGCACACTATTGAAATCATTTTTTTCCTCCATGAATAATTATGCGGAAATATTAGTTTAAATATTTATTCTAGGTAAGCATAGAAAAATTTGCACTTTACCTGGCTTGCTTTCATGAATATACCATGGTTTGGTTCGCATTCGAAGTACCGAACTCCTCTTACTGAACCATCATTTTTTCCGTTTGGTCCATCTAAATTTATACCTATCCAAACACCATCTGCAAATTCCGTTTTTCCGCAAAATTCGACAACTCCTGACCCTTTTTCTAGAACGAATAAATTTTACGGATCAATTAGAAAAAATAAGTAATATATAATCACTCAATATCACACGGAAGTCATTATTCTTTTCCCCATTATTGATTTTAGCGCTGGATCGTATTCTGGCATTCTCGTCGCATTCGTCCCCGCGCTCCATTTTGATGCGTTGATCTCTGCTGCTTTGTCTCCGTTCAATCCAAGGCACTAATGTTTTCTTTAGTACTATCGATTGGATATATGCCTCAACGTGATCAGATAGACAGATTTCCTTCACGTAACGTTTGTGGAAGTCCATCACTATTCCATCCCAAGTCATCAAATAGGTTCGTCCTGCATTTCATCTCTACCCAGAGTTTTAGCTACTAAATCGTGCTTTTGCTTTTTTCGGTCTCGAGCTAATCAACTTGTCCTGACCAGTGATACCAACTCCTATCAGGATTGCTTCATGCGGCTCCTTATCGTATAGTAGAATGTCCAGTCGATCTGCTCTTATTCTAACTGCAGTTTTTACTCGCGTGTCGACTCTGATTTCTACTTTGTTGTTGGCGACGATTCCCTGAACGGAGTGCCTCCTCGTGCCTGGGAATGTTTGTAGACTATACTTTTTACAGAGTGCTAAATGAATACATCGCGGGACTTCACAGTGTCTTCTATTACAGTCGTGATACATTCTCATTGCGTTGCTAGATGATCCACCGTCTTCACACGTTCTCTACAATGTGGGCACATACTCTTCTCAGCTCCAAACAATTTCATACTGCCTATATATATATGATTGAATAATGATAATTTCATTATTCAATCATAGATATAGAGCAAATTTTAAATGCATTGGACACAATGCTGAGCTTATTTACTTTTGCCTCCACAACTGATATTCTCAAAACATAGAAAACTGTCAAACAAAAAACGATGCTAAAGAAAGATACTCGGAGTCGAAAACAAGATATCTCGTTGCAAACAAGATAAAATTTACATCTTCTGAGTGAAAAAGACAGATTACGAAAAAATGCTGATCTACATCAAATTAAATGCATATTATTGTAAGGAAAATAAAAATAGGAAAAGCGTAATTAACACTATAACTTTACTACGACTGGTTCACCAGACATACGATATTCTACACAAATATAGCAACATCATCTAAAGTACGTGCACCGCGATAGAAATAACAAGCTCACCTGTTTCCACTCTCGTTCCGATGTTGAACGACATGCTAGCCAAGCAATGCCACTCTAACTGCTAGCTTGTGAATACAACTCTAAATAGATACCTTTTCAATGCATTCATGAAATCTGACTAAATGAGCAGAAAAATGTAACAGCATGCAAATATATTCCAATACATAGTAGCAAAACACATACATGAACAAATTTTGGTATGTCTAAACTTTAAAAAGCTCTAATAGCATACGACGAAGTGCACTTGCAATGACCCAGCCATGATGCTTGCAACGTTAAAATTACGATGACAATCTATGTAATAATAATTCATTCATCACAAAACAACGCGCGCTACTTTCCTCATTTCACATTTCGAAAAGAAAAAGGTGGAATTTGGAAAAAATTGATGTGAGAATTTAGTAGAAAAAAGAGATAAGAGCCAAAAGAGTACTGGAAAATATTCTCAATTCACTCATTACATGACCGATGGACTTCAGTGCTCCGTATTGTAAGCAGTTTGGATGCTTAATGTGAATAAGAAGAGACAAAACTTCCCAGAAGTGTTCCTGGCAGTCATAACAATCATTACGATAAGCAAGCAGTAACATGATGCATATAATGAAACATATGTTTCATATCGCACCTGTATCAATTATAGTAAGCTTTCTTCAAACATTCAAATTTGTCTTTCAGAAATGAGGGATTGATCAGCTGGGAGGATAAGCGAGGGGTTACTTGCTTGCCACTGTGGTGGAACGCGCATGGTTTACGAATGTTGTTCAGGAAGTTCTGTTGTATCTGATGTGCAGATTTCTCAAAAGCGATGACAGTACTGTTTTAAGCATTTAGATAGGAGTTGCTTGATTCTACTTGCTTCACTTATACATCTGTTACTAAGTTTTTAGTCTTATATTGGTTGTATATTTTTACACTCATTTTATGGTTCATTACTGTGAAAATTAGAAATATATATCGCGAGACATATATTTACAGTAATTAGTGGAATTAGTTCCGAATTTCGTTTTGGCGGCATGCTTTCAAGTTACAAAGTAGTTATTGCCTGAAGTGATGATTAATTAGATTGGTATCGAAAAATTCCGAATCATGAAACAAAACGGATTCTGCATACTTATTTATGTAAACGGAAATAATGAGAACACAATTGTGAATATACTTCAGTAAAAGTGGCGGAAAAAAAGTAATTAGAAGTGGTGAAGAAAAGGCATTTAGTAATAATTAAAAGTAGAATTGAAGTATGAATAACCATTACCTCTTTTCATTACTTTTCATTTTTTAATTATTTAATAAGTTGTCAAAAAGTAATACACTGTTTAATATTTACTTATGAAATGTTGATATAGCGAAGGTATTATTTTTGAGTCTCGTATATATTTGGTTACAAGCGTTCCAGTTTGTAATACCAATGGACAAACATTTGCAAGATGAATTCAAAAAATCTTTATCTCGCTATGAATTTTCAATCAATCAGATAGAGGAGAAATACTGTCGTAGATTGGACAAACGTCAGTTGGCTGTTGATACATTAAATAGAAATTTCGGAGAAGCTTTTGTGTCATCACCGTATCTAGAATTGGATAATGTGCACGACAAACTTGTTTGCCAACGTCTTAATGATGTAAGTCCGAATATAAACTACTGTTAAAACAGACCAATCAATCATAGTTATATTTAACATTTAAATAGGTACATTATAGCCTTTCAGGAGTTTGAAAACCAATTTGGAAAACGTCGAAAGATGGTAATTTCTAATTTCTGGATTTTTTGTGCTCCATTTGTCTTCTTTATCTGGAGTTTTAACATTTGTCGGGTGGTGTGATACCAACGGGTTGGTGGATTTCCGGAAGTGCTTGTTTTTAAAGTCATTTCATCATTTCTCTAAATTAAATAAATTATAGGATGCCAGTGACCAAAGTGCAGCTAAAAATGTTTCACGAATGAAGAAAAAACGTATTAAAATTTTATTCCTATCTTGTTTCATCGTTTCAATTCATTTTTAAAAACGTACTTGATGAGTTTATTGTGTTCATTCTTACTTGCAAAGTTTAGTGCTTTATTAACCTGGTAGATAATTTAGTGGAAAAATCAAGTGAGGACTATGATTTTTGAGACTTTTTAATATGTATTCAGTTAATTTTAATCGTTTCTTGCATTATTTCACTAGTTTTTGGCAGCAAAACTGATAAGCAATGTTGAACTTATTACAAATGACCTCTTTCTTACTTTTAAGATATCGTTCGGAAAGAGCAGCCTCTCTCTCTTCACGATCATTCTGTAAGTTTGCTTGCTTTATTTAGCAGCTAACAAACAAGTAACCTATTGCAGTCGAAACTTTAGTATAGCAAATCTGTTGCGCTGAAGAATTAAACAACAGTAGTTTATTTGCTGATCGTAAAGGATTGTTTCATGAAATTCATTTTAATTATCATGTTTAGCGATGAGAATGTGTCTTTCATGATCGTACATTAAAATGACCAACTTGAATCGATACATGTTTTGAATTTTTCAAATCGCTTGAAAATTTTAGCATTTCTTCATTGATATATTTTCCTGGACCTTGATTTATTCATTAATATGTACATTTAGGTAAACTTTGTGCATTCTCGAAATATTGATGTGATCATGACACCAGTTAGAGATGGTCCTCTAACTGTTTACAGTGTATGATTTAATTCTTCTAGAGAATTTCACATTGATGTGTGAGCATTTCCGATGTCATTCAGAAATTTGTTGTTGAACTTTAAATTTTGGATCTTTAAAATTTACGTAAACAGTGGTTCGAAATTGAAAATTTTTAATTCATGTCGTGATATCGAATTTTTTCAGCAGTACGATCCAGAAGCTCATTCAAAATTATTCAATAGGAAGCAACATCGTAGCAATCAATTTCATGTTGCCCTTGACGGTAGATATTCAGTATCATGTTCTTAATTTTTCAATTTCTAGGAAATGTTAGATTAAAAATATATCAGTTTATGTGAATGTTGTTAATTTGAATATTCAAGAATGGTAAATAAACTTATTATTTGAAAGTGTTATTACAACTTATCTCTCTTTCATGGTTTATTTATTTTGCCTTATGAGCATTAAGATCTAAATAATTGCGTCTCGAAATACATATTTTTTTAAATTTCAGAGATATTCATGGATGCCTGGTTTCAGAATGCGTCTGGGTATTGGAATAATGGAAATTTTACCAAAGACCATACTTTTCGTTGTCGCTTGGCAAATAATGTATTGAACTCAGTGCGTTTCAATTCTAATGCTTGAAGCACTCTAAAAATTTGATTCTCTTAGTGTATTGCAATATTTGGTTGCATATATCATCTATTTTCTTGAGGTACTTGTGTCACATAGCTTTTTGTTACCTGAAAAAAATGTTTAATCAAAGTGTACTTTGAATAACGACGTGTATAGTGTAGTACAGTGGTTACCACTAGAATTTTCATATTAATTTTGTTAGAGACATGAGATAAGATAATCTCCAGTGATGCTATCGAAAACAAATTTGGTTATGTGGCCTTCATTTGGTAATCGTGTTGCAATGTAATATAGTTTGCATTGTGTACATCTTGTACCTTTGCTAGATAGTTTTGTTTTCATTATAATAATAAAAACTGCTTTGCTTATTGATATCATTTTTTGTTGTTAGATATTAGATTGTGTCCATCTATATATATTTTTTACTATCCTGTAATCGGAAGATACGTGGTCTAAGCATTCTCCTTCGTTTGAATTTTCAGATATACTCTTTGCAACAAGTTTTTTGTAAATTGCAGTCTTTTGCTTAATGAGAATTGAGAAAAAAGTTTTCATGTGAACATAACTGAAATTAAGATCAGGAAGCTACAAGCTGTCTGATACTTTGCATATTCCTGGTCTTGATTACTGAGGTTTGTGAAACATTTCTAGGTTGATCGCGGTTTGATTCTGATCATTGCGTGGAGATGTCATGTGAACAGTGGACCATCGACGAATATGTGGCAAGGGAGGTTTGATTTTAAAATTGACAGTACTGACAAGAATGTGAATAAGTGTGTTAAAATTTTATTTAGGTAAACTTATTTGAAGAAAGGTGAAGATTACAGAAATCACGTTAATGAAAATAATGCTGCCATAGTAAAGGTTTTGGATTCATGTGTTGTCTGACTGTGAAATTAGTGATTGGGTAAGTGAAGAAAGAATGCGAGTGCGTAAATGAAATATTTATGTAAGTAGGTAGAGTTTTATTTTAAGACGGGACTTTGCAAAGATGTTGCGCAATCGCTGGTTCAGTTATTTGAAGATGGGTGCGAACTACCATTTATTGCTCGTTATCGTCGGCATTTAATTGGTAATGCAACAACTGATGATTTACGACATTCGATGGGAGCATTTAAGGAAGCGAAGTAGTTTATGTTTCATTCTTGGATTTCAAAACTGAAAAAATAAGCATAAAATATTATGTTGCAACTAGTATTTCAGGATGGTGAAAGCTAAGGCCAAAAAACTTCTGGAGCGAGCAGATGCTGAAATTGGGGAGGATAATATAAGAGCTTCTGTGAAAAATGCTCTTGCTAGATCTATGGATATAAATGAATTAAATAGTTTGTTCGAACCTTTTAAGAAAGTTAAGCAAGGTTCATTAGCTTCAAGAGCCGCGTATGTTTCCTGAATTTCATATTATCCTTGTTTGTCTCCTTAATTTTTTCTATGAAGGAGCAAAGATCAAAATCAAGATAGTTAAAAATTACTTGCAATTAACATACAATGGAGATTGAAATCAAGAAGTTAGGACTTTTTTTTTCGTACACACACTAATACTGTGTGAGCAAATGAAGTTTGCAGTGCACTGGGTATTGACAAAATCTGTCGAGAACTGTTCGATGGCAAATGTGTTAATTTACAACTTTTCGTTAATTCGAAACCAGGTGCTATCAAATTGTATTCATTTAATTAGTGTAAAGGTTTGGAAAACTTTTTAAAAGCTTTTCTGAGTGTATGTAGTTCTGTGTCAGCTCTTATGGATGTTACTTTTTGGTAGACTATTTTCATGCCAGTTTAAGAGAAAGTAATAAACACGTTTATGGTCAAGTCATTAGAAACATGGAAAAATTCTAATAATTTAAAAATTCTTCATTAATTCAAATCTTAGCCAACACATTGTTATTTGAAACATGTTAAATTGTTTTTAAACGAACAAATTATTTAACAGAGTTATTCAGAACTAAACACTTCGGCAAAAGTTGAAGAAAACACGGTCCATTTGTTATCTCATTATTTACATCATTTGGAAGAAACGCAAGTTCTGTTGCAAAATTTGTATGTTTTGATTTTTACAACATTATGTAAAAAAAATAAATTAATCAAGGATTGTTCTTCTTTCTTGAATTGTGTGCTTGAAATGATCAAAAAATTTTCGAGAGTTACTTTGTAAAAGAAAATATGGAGTTAATAAGGGAAATTTAGACTAGTTCGTTGTTTGGTAACTGTTGTTTTTCAAATTAATCACTTCATCGCCATCATAAATCATAAAAGAATTTGGTTAAATGTTGAGTTTTCTAATTTAAATTTTGTTCTCTAGTGTGTTGCAATTTGCTGAATGTGAAGCTGAAATATCAGAATTTCTTTAATGATTGGATCGTAAATAGATAATTGAAAATATTTCAGTTGACCAGCGCATACAAGATACTCGGAAAAGAGGAAATTATGAAAGCACCATATTTGTTTTGTTTGCACTTTTTTAGGGTTGAATCAAATAACAGTTTGAATATTTATTTGAAAGTGAAATCAAAACTTACGAAACATGCAAAAAACTTGAAAGAAACAGACAAGGATTTTGTTTTACTTGATAATTTCAAATTATATCTGGATTTCGAGAAAAATGTTCGATTTGTTCAGCCTTTTCAAGTAAATTCCTTTGTGAGATGTTCCTTTATATATCTAACGTGTGTAGTGTATAACGTTGTTGGAAAAAATTAATAGAAAATTCATTCTGGGTTTTTTTTTTTGCTGTATTTACTTTTTTAGTATTTATGATATTTAGTTGTTGATATGAAGGTACAAATTTTTAAACTTGATATTTTCATACTACACCAGCCTACTAGGTTCTTTTAGATAATACCGAAGTGTACTCAACTAAGTTGATGTAAATACCATTTTGTAAATTAATACCGAGTGTGCATTTTATTTCCGATTTCAGTGCAAATGTTAGCATTTTCCACTTATAGATCTTAGCCTTGGAACGAGCTTCATCAAAGAAAATTATCACTTGGAAAATAGTTGTCGATGACCAGGTTGCAAATTTCCATCCGGGCAAACGATTAACTTTTCATTCCAGGCATATAAATTTGCTGCAAAGAGCAGTTCAAGATTCCGTGAAACGTTTTTTCATCCCATCCATTGAACGTAAAGTGCGGTAAGAAAAATTTATTAGTGGTGTAGTACTTGTTAATATATTATTTTGTTTCAATAGTCATCTTGTTCCTATTGATTGGTTCTCTTATAAATACCAGGAAGAAATTACTGGATTATGCAGAAAATTCAGCTATCGACTGTTTTGCGAAGAATCTTCGCGAATTAATGTTGACTGCTCCACTTAAAGGAAATGCTGTTCTTGCTATTGATCCCGGTTATGTGAATGGATGTAAATGTGCACTTGTTGATGAAAATGGTAACTTTTGTATATATAATCATCTCACAATATAAGCTAATAATCATCTTCTGGTGGAAATAAATAATTATTTGCTTATGTCGTGAAATGTTCAAGATCATCATATGTAGGTGAAGCCTTCAATGTTGTTCAGCACCGAATCAGATTCCATTAAGAGCAAAATAACTTTTGATAAATGGTTTCAGGTAATCTAATCGAAACAACCATATTCTATCTTCGACAATCACGTTTTAACTCTTGGCTTCCGGATGAACGTGCTGAAAGTGTTTTGGAAGCACTTGCATCGAAAATAGCTAGTTTACCTCTTGTTATAGCGATTGGAAATGGTACGGGAAGTCGAGAAGTCCAAACTTTCATAGCATCATTAATTCAGCGTAATGTGATTGACGCTAAATTTTGGTTTGCTAACTTGATATTCATGCTTTATTTTTACAACACATCTTTTGATTTCTTTCTAGAAGAATTTTATGTACTTTATCTTATTCTGATTTTACTTTTTAATATTTTGACATTTTATAAAACTGAAGATCCATTTAAGATTCCATTTATCATTTAAGTGTTGTTTCGGAATGTGGTGCATCTGTATATAGTATTACGGAGTTAGCAGCTAAGGAGCTACCAGTGATGGACGTAAATTTACGAAGTGCAGGTATTCCTTTGATTTTTTTAGTGAACTTAAAGTACTATTTCTGTGATTTTTGCTGCGGTTTATCTATTTTTTCCAAGAAACTAATTTTATCAGTCGGAGATTTTTGTACAATCAGTCCTTAGATATTATATTTTTTCCTAGTAAACTTAATAATTAAAAAATTTTATTAGGCTATTTCTGGTATGTCTTGGTTAATTCATTTTCTTAGCATCTATTGTCAATACGATGTGTGGTCTGGATTTTTCTAAATAAATTTGTATTGAAAGAAAAATTCAAAGTTGATCAGTTTAGTATCACTTGCTAGACGAGTTATTGATCCAATATCGGAATATGTAAAAATAGCTCCAAAACATCTTGGTATTGGATTATATCAGGTTTGTTGATGCTTCGAAACTTGTTAAATAACAGAACAAATCAGAAAAAAAAGTTTTGTTGTGAGTTTATATCTTTTTTGTGTTCAGCATTCAGTGAATGAAAAGCGTCTGAATGAGATGTTGGATATCGTAGTGCGCGAATGCGTGAGTAATGTAGGGGTGGACGTGAATGTTGCTTCACTTCAAGTTTTGCAGTAAGTAAAATCAGAATCATTATAAAGTCGAACTTTATGTTGGCCGAATTATTTCGTTGGTTATGATTTTGTCCTTTTATTTCACCAGTCACTGATTAGTTTCCTAGGAAAGTCTCGGGTTTGAATAAAAGAACGGCTGCCAGTATAATCAAATATCGTCAAGATAATGGATTGATAAAAAGCAGAGAAGAATTGAAGGTGAAAAGTTTTTGACAATATTTGAAACTAAAAGAATTTGTTTTGGGATGTTCATTTTTCCATGGCAATTTGCAGTGTATAAATGGAATTGGTTTAAAGTGCTTTGAGCAGTGTGCAGGATTTCTTTATGTGTATGAACCGAATAAGCCGTATGAAATTGTAAGAAAGAAGGCGAAACTTAGTGCTAATTACAATCCACTCGATGCAACACGCGTTCATCCTGAAAGCTACGAGATTGCAATGCAGTTATTTCTTATTTTATAAAGCATTCTTTTTATTTCCATTTATGTGCATTGTGATCAGACGATTATAAATTTTGATGTTTTTGTATCCTATCAATGTCTTGTTTATTCTACTGTAAATTTCTTTATGTTGCTGCATAATCAATTGCATTTTTGAGATTACTGAAGTATGCCAATATCGACTTGAGTTATGTTGGACAAGCTTGTTTCCCGAAAATGCTATCAAAGATTGAACAACAGGTTCAAAAGAAAGATCAGAAATGGAGCATGGTTTGGGAATTACTAGTGCATCCTTTCGTGAGGAAAAATTCACCAAAGCTTCTGGTGGGTTTTGTACTTTTTGTATTGGCAACATTCTTGAATTCGGTCCTTTTTTGCAGTTGTATTATTTTAAGACAAGCGTCTTGGAAATGAAGTCATTAAAAAAAGGCGATATATTGGAAGGTGTTGTGAGAAATTACGTACAGTTTGGTATATTTATTGATATTGGCATCAACTTCAATGCGCTCGCACACTCATCGACTTTTTCATCCGTACTTCCTGAGGTTTCATTTTTTTACTTTTATTATGACGTTCACTCTTAATCCACGTGAATTGCTTAATAATTGAGGCAGGATTGATTTCACTTGCTATTATTTTTGGTAAAGGATATATCTTTCTAAACTATTAACTTTTTACAGCTTCTAGTTGGTGGTTATGTAAATTTCTTCAACATTTGCTTTTCATCCCAACTTTTTGATTTCCAAATGAAAAATTTAGATGCTTCAAAAAACTAGAAAAACTCATGTGTAAATGTCAACATTTTTTTGGTTTTTAATCAGACGTTTCCTCAGCTAAATGTAACTAAGTCCTTAAATTGAAAAAAATGCTCTATATTCTATCATATTAATTTGTTCACTGGTGCTCCTCGCCTGTTTTTTAAGTCGGAGATTTTGTTACTTTATCTGCAAGGACATTTCATTTTTCCTTTTTTGCTCGTAGCTTTTAAATGTTATAACTTTTCTAATTTTTAGGTGAATTCGACGGTGAAGGTGAAAATAACTGATATTGATATAAATAAAAGGCGTATCAATGTCATTATACTTTAATTTCGAGTGTCTCATACATCTGACATTTACTTTCACAACTATGAAAATGTGTAACATAAATAAGAACACGATTTTGTGTTGTGTTTACACAAAAAAAAAAACCCGCAGATGCTATTATTTCGTGGCACATTTTTCCAAACTTACTGTTTAGTTTGGAATAAGTTTGCATTTTAATAGTGTTCCACAATTCACAATTCCTCTGGTCACTTAATGTACTTAGCTAGTGTGTTGTTGCTTTTTACGCCTGTGTTAATACAGTTTCTGATTCCTGAAAATGTAGCTGGTATTGGCAGTTATGTGAAAATCTTCAACTTTAGTTTTTTCCAGATGAAGTATTGCCTTGCTTTATATGGTCCCAGAATTTCTTACTTGAATCAATCACAATTATTGAATTATTAAAATGGATCACAATCTTTCTGTAGCTTTTTCTTTTCAATAGCATAGCAACTGAGTGGCTGGATCTTGACGTCCTTTTTTCCCTCGTTTCTTTTGAGAAATTAGGGGGTAAAAAAGTGGGTTTGCTTATGAATTATAATTAATGTGCACATTTTTATGGAGTTTCCACTTACCTGTTGCATGTTATGTTAGGTGTTGAACTCTGAGCCTAATAACTTTTTTGAGTACTGGGACTGTTCGTGCCAAAGCATGAGTTTTGGTATGACGAACGCTTATCGTACAGGCTGCTGGACTGAGAATTTTTTAAGTCAGTTTCATGTAAAAGACATTACAAGTAAGGTTTCTGATCACATATTTCTGTGCTTTCTTTTATTTCTTGTGCATATCCAAAACGAAATTTCAAATTGCGTAAACATTGATAATGTCCTCTTCAAACAATAAATTCATTAACATAACGATGGTTCAGGTTTCTCTTTCTGTAGTCTGAGTAAGTAGAGTCGTTCTCCAATACCAAAAAGTGATAAAACTAAACTTATCCAATATCTTTCTTAATGCATTCTGATGTGAGCGCACTTTATTGAATAACGGTATAGCATGTTTTTATTTTCTGTAAACACATCTGGAGACATTTTTCAGTTTTAAAATCCCTTCATGCTTGTGGAGATAAATTTAAGTTGTTAAAAAAGACGATACAGCATAGATTTCTTATATTGTTCGTATAAAATACACAATATTATGCTGTTCTAGCTCATACCAATGGTACTAATTTGCAATTTATTTCATTAGAAATATTTTGTGAATTTTGATCATTGTACCACACTGCAGTGTTAAGGTTCACACTTCATTTGCGAATATCTTGGTAATCACAACTATATGATGAATTTTTAGAGTCATATAATAGTATATAATGGTAGAAAAACAATGATCAAAAAAACGATTTTCTTTCAAAAAAAAGCAGTGGGTAAAAGAATAAATGCAAGGAAAGATGCAGATGACAGTTTTGGTAGTGGATAAGTTTATAAAGAATTTCCTCTAAAAAAATGATTATGAGTGGAATCTGTGGCTGATGGAAAATAGTAGTGAGCAGAGAGTGAATCAGTTTGTACATATCATTATCATTCCAACTTTCACGTTCTGTCATTGCGTCTGTTCGAATGATTAATGCATTGGATGAGCATTTTTCAGCCATCTACTCTTCGTAAATGCTAATTCAATCTTTTGAATTTAGCGCAGATGAAGGAAACACGATGTGGAACGAAAACACTCGCAGTGGTGTGATCGAAATTTAATTTAAAGTATGCACATTTCACGATCTCTTGGGGCGCTATTCTTCAAGTAACATCAGAAAAAATTGGAGTCGGTAATTCACTTCATCTTTTCAAATAGCTGGACTTAAATTGATCATTAATACATCACGATATATTACTATGTTATAAAGACGATGTAATTAGTTTTCTGGAATTAAAGAAAACGGAATGATTGAACTTGTCTGAGCACAGCACACAGAACGGAATGAACTACTTGAGCAAGTGCGAAAGAATTTAATCGTAAGACTCCTTGTTATTCTTGCTTTTTTCGTGCAGCATTTCGTTGCTTTTTTATCTCCATCTTTCATGGTAACACTGAAAAAGTGCTAACGTGATACATACGCGCAATACACACGCCTACACATGTGCCAAAAAACGATGCCAAATGCAACCGACGAAATGGGAAAACATGCACAAACAGCACAGAACATATTTTTTGAGATGCGTAAAAAAGTATTCATAAGATAACGAAATAAAAAGGAGATTATGATAAGGCAAGAAAGAACAAGAAATGAGCATCAGAGTGCAATCAGTCAGTCATCCACCGTGGGAAACAAAACATGTGAAAGTTGTAAAAAGAAAAAAACGCTTGAGTTTAATTTGCGCTTTCCTCCATATCTGTTCAGTGTGCAGCAAATACGAGCTCGCAGACAGTCGGTTCAACTCTACGCTCTCTCTGCTTGTATCCGGCAAATTCCTGTTGCAAATCGGCACGTTTACGGTTCCTAAAGCAGCTACTTTTTTTTAAACAATACATATTGTCACCACCACTTTTGCAGTGTAATTAATTATTTGCGAAAGAATCTTTCTCAAACCCTCATTGTGCAGACCCTATCAACTGAACACATTCGAGTAGTTTATTCTAGTTCTTTCTTTGTGATTCATATTTACTTCAAACATTTAAATATATCCTGGTCAAAAGATATTGTAAGCAATAAAGTGAGAAGATACGATACTATTTAGCAATAGTAAGAGTTGGTACCAGCTCATCTTTTCTTGATACTTACCAGTCTTGTAGTTGAAGTTATCTAAAAAAGCTGTTGTAGTAATTGACGCCGACTTACATGATTAACACTGAAAGAAGCATTCTAGCTCTGTTATGTTAGGCAGTCACTAAGTTTTAGCAGACAATGTTATACATGTCAAATTTTTTCATTGTGAGATATTATTTCTTGAGAAAGCAATATTAACATATGACGATCTTTTTTTTGCGAATTTGCATGAAAACATTAAGTGTAGTCAACCATTTGGGATTTTTCTGTATTTTCTAAGCATTTGTTTTAATAAGATATGATTAAGTTTACTAGATACCAACAGCAGTGTTACGTCTTTATATTTGTGAGCGCAAATAGCAGTAAGAGGAGTGTGAGCATTTTGTTTCAAATACTGCAATAAGCTACTTTTTCAAAAGTATCCTTAATTATAATGGCTTTTTAATATCTAATTTATTTCTGAGAGCTCTGCTTACAGCTGTACAGGTAAGTGTAGTGTAAATAGCAGTATTGTGTAGTGTAGGCACATACTTTTTTCATCACAGCCATGAGTATGATTATTATTGGTAGGAGAGTGAAATGAAGATAAGAAAGAAGTTTTTGCTCTTTGTCTTAATAAGAAACGCTCGTAGACGCTTGCGAGGACAAATATGCTTTATTTTATAATCTGTACTATACACCTTGGTTATGTAGACAGTTTTGGGATTTGTATTTGCTTCGCATCTCTTTCGTTGATTGTTTTCGTTTAATTGATAGGAGTGAGCAATGTGTTACTCGTTGTGCGCATCTCCTAATGCCATTGCATTTTCAAGTTATTTGCAGTTACAGTTATATTGATGCAGTTAATTAATTACTCTCCAGTCTGAATTTTCGCTGTGATTCTTAGCAGCATTTACTTTTTACCTATTATTTCTCTTTCATCCTGCTCAATCTCCTCAATTAATTTTGATGCTTTCATGCTTCTTCCGTTGATACCTAAAATGATCAGATGTAACGCAAGTGCAGTAAAAGTAGTGATATCATTACTCATGTATTGAGTTTAGTGATATTGGCTCATAAATGATCAAACATACAAGAAGCCTTGATCACGTGATTGCGAAATGCGTAAGTGACAATGAAGCAGTGAAATTTGAAAGAGATGACAGAGCTTAGAAGTGATAACGAGTGAAAGTGAACACAAAAGCAATAAATTGCCGGTAGAACCAAGAATTGCAGAAGTGAACTGAGTTCAGTAATAGTATTGGCAGTGACGAGGAAAGAAGGATGTTGGGCATGCCTTAAATGACAAATGTGCGCGACAAAAAACAAATTGTATTTTGTTGATAAAAAGGATTGGGGAAGGCAAGCAAAGCAAAGAGACAAAATGAGACTGATTGCAGTGATGATCAATTGCAAGATTAAGCAACAAGGAACAATGCATGGTTGATATCTGATAAAGAATGTGAAGAGGGTAGTATGGCATTCATAAATAGTAGTAGTTGCTGATTTGGCTGGCCGCTTAGCTGCTAACTAGGTAAATAATGTGAGTGAAAGTAAAAGGCCTATACATTAGTGAGTAACTGATCACCGGGACGAGATGGATAGCCCTGCTTTGCCTTTGCCTTGCCTTGCCCTTGCCTTGCCCGTTTCTTTATCACTACTTTCCTTGGTATCCTGTAGTTACTGCCTGTTCTGTTTTTCACTTTTCGGCATCAAGGACAGCAACATGCGTGTGTCACGTCTTCATCCAGTTCAATCAAATAAATGAATTAATACCTTTTCTTCTACAACTACAGCACTAACCTTCCAGCATGAATTCCTTATTTATTCGTGTTCACTTCCATTTTCATCTTTCAACTCATTGTCTCTCAGCTGCCTCTTCCATCGCTGAAAAGATGCATGTGTTTCTGTGTCTATGAAAGAAAGCGACGCAAAACGCATTTCTTCGGTCATCAAAGATTTTTTCCTTTTTGGAAAAAAATTATCACCTTTATTTGCAACTTTATCTTTCGGTATTTAGCAAACCATGAAAACTTAAAACTTAAAACTTTACCGAGAGCGGTTTTTTTCTTCATCTTTGAGAGAAAAGTGTTACCGCATTCGGTAAAGTTTTATGTTTTCATAGTTTGCAAAACTCAATTTTTCTCCATTTCATATTTATTTCACCTGCCATTTGCTGTCCGCATCTATCACTTTACTGAAATATTGTTTACTGTTTACAAATATCAGAATTTGCATATAGTAGTAACGCACGTTTGTGTCAATGAATCTGGCAAAGTACTCAATATATTTAATTTTTTACTACATCAATTAATCTAAATAAGTCTGTAGATTCATGATAAATTATTAGAACTTTTGCTACTGTTACCTATTGACGTAAAACTTGATCTGATAATATTACCATACTATGATATGCCTCGTTGTTTGCCAACTAGATCAAAAATTTTTGTTACCAGACCTAAATTTCCTGTTCTTATGAGCAAGAGCAAGTTATTTCAAGTATCTTATATCTGCTGAAAGCATCAGTTCAGAGATATTTTTCCATGTTACAATGGTTATCACAGTATCATTTTACTTCTTGTGACCTGTGCAGAAATTTAACTAGTTTTTCTAATTTTAAAGTAGTCTTTGAAAGCTCTATTTAATTAATTTGAAGTATGTAAGTGTTGTCAGAAATGATGCATTAGCATATTATTTGGAATATGTACTTTTATGAACAGTACAGCAATTAAACACTTCAATCCTTCAAAAAGCAATTCAATAAATGGTCTTCTGATTGAGAGAAGTAAGGTTATGTTCATCATGTCTTATCGTATTTAAAAAATTTCATACGATTTCAATGTTTTCTAGTGTCATTTTTTATATATTTTTTCAATACATGTAACATGATTCCATACGCGTTTTTCATCTAACAGTCATTGTTATTTTTAGTTTGTTACTGTCTAGCACTTTTGTTTCTTAAAAGAGTATTTTGCTTGCAGCATCAGTCATCTGCGTAAACAGAGACTTAAGTGGTATGGAACAGAATACAGTGGATCAAAACGAACATGTACAGGTAATGTATTTCTTCGCATTTGAACAGAACACATACATGTATTCCTGCAAAGTACATGTTAATGCTTCTGTTGAATGGTTCTATCTCAATTTATTCCTAATTTCTAATGTAGCTACGAGATATAAAGCTTCTTATTACAATTTTTCCATTTAATTAATGCATATGAATCGTTAATGCAGGACAACGTTTGTGAGCAACGGTTGTCTGATACATCATGGAAATGGATTCAACAAAATACTTTTACGCGTTGGGTAAATCAAAAATTAGAACCTGCGAATATTACTATTACTGATTTGGTATGCTTGTTGATAAGAAAAATTGAATTTTTTTCCTATTGATTGATGAGATGAGTTTTTGTTGGCAACGGTGAGTTTTTTTGTCTCACCATTTCTTAGATATATGTATCTTTTCATTTCGCCTGTAATTCTGTCATACATTGCTTTATTTTATGTGAAATGAATTAATTTTCATGCTTTTTTGATTCTTTTTGTCAGATATGTCATGAGAAAAAAATTGTATTCAATCTTTCGCTTTTTGCTGCAACTTGGTGGTTTCACATTTTTCATCTCTCATCATCGTTGTCTTTCAGGAAACTGATTTCGAAGAGGGTTTAACACTGATTCGTTTGGTAGAGGTATTGTCTGGTAGGTCACTTGGTCGATACAGTAAAAAAGTCACTTTCCGGCACCAAAAATTAGAAAATATATCGCTCGCACTTCGTTTTTTGGAAGAGGAGGAGCACATAAAAATTGTTAATATTGGTACTCATTTTTAATTTTTGCGAGCGCAATCGTTTGTACTCTGCCTTGTTGGAGACAATAGCTTCATTTCAGATATTATTCTAATTGCATAAAATATCTGTTTTTTCAGACAGTTCAGCTATAGTAGACCGTAATTTGAAGCTGATTCTGGGTCTTATTTGGAAACTTATTCTTCATTATTCTATTTCAAAGCAAGTTTGGGATGATAATGCAGTTAGTATGACAGAAAGTGAGGATATTTCACCAAAGGCGAAGCTTATGATGTGGCTCAAAGGAAAATTGCCAACAGGACTTCCTTTTACCAATTTTACATCTGATTGGAATGATGGAATCCTTCTCGGTGCTTTGGTGTGTTGATTCTTTGTCTACATTTTATTGTTTTTCTATGAATCGTTAGTTACAATTTTTTTATTAGGTTGATTCATGCATACCTGAGTTGCAAGTTAACTGGCAAAACTGGTTACCATCACAAGCTTTACATTCAACTCGAACAGCAATGAATCTTGCAAAAGAGTATCTGAATGTTGCTCCGGTTTGTTTTTCATCTTGTCACAAGAGAAAAAACCATTTCCGTCAAACATTTTCGGAAAATTCCCACGTTTTCAATTTGAGTATTTTTAAATTTTAGCTCATCGCCCCTGAAGAACTGATCAGTCCAGCAGTTGATGAACGAAGTGTGATGACATATGTTTCTCAGTTTCTCGGAGCAAAATATACACCTTTGATGGGTTACCTTTCCAATGTGAACGTTACACCAATAGTTGGTGCTAACACAGAATTCACGCTTCAAATGCGAGATTCAATGTTTATTCCAGAAATACATATTAGAGGACCTGATGACTCATTAATATCGCATACCCAGTGTAAAACATCAGAAACCATGTGGAACTTTGTATATAAGCCAGAAATTACTGGCAAATATGAGGTTGTTATATATATAGTGCTTTTTTGTCAAATGATTAACATTAAAACCATCCAAAAATTGTGCCACTCTTTATGGACTAAAAAAATCTAACAACATTTTTATTACAAGTTTCCTGCTATAATGCAGATTGTGGCAACGATTCGTGATAACGCAACATGTAGGTTAGTGCAGCTTGCGTGTCCTGAAATAAATGCTGTTGAAGGTGTGCGCTTACTATATCATAAACATGTATCACTAGGTAAATCAGTTGAGTTGAAGATTGAAAACGCGAGGAAAGACTTTATTGAGGTATGAAATCCTTCATCATACTGCTTCGCGTACGATTTTAGCAAAAGTTTTGGTTAAAAAATTATTGTCATTAATTAGTATAAGTTGTTTTTTTAAATGAAACTCAAAAATAAATGGATTGTTTCTCATTTGTAAAGAATATAGAGAATATAAATCATTTCCAAAATTGCTACCCATATAGACTTGTTGTACTTATAGAGAGTATAGAGATGTTGTATTCTTAATGTTTATAATTTATAAGCAATTTGTATTTTCTGCTTGTAAATTTTCTAGCTTTATGAGTTACTTTTTTAAACTTTGGCGTGAAACGAGAAGAGATTTTGAAGCTTGAAAATACTGCAGGTTGTAATAATTGCTCCTGATCACCAAGTATTCGTAATACCAATGTCTCATAATATTGTTCGCAAAGGTTCATTTACACCAACAAAGGAAGGTTTGCATGAAGTGAATATCCTACAAAATGGAAAAGAAATTATTGGTTCTCCGTTTCCTCTCGTAGTAATTTCGAAAGGTTACTTTGATCTTATTTTTCATATTTGAAAATTAATAATATTATATGCATTTTAAAATGCTGACGAACACAAGTGGTGTTTTCCATTCCCATTTTTTGTTCTTTATTTCCATATTGAAAATTATTTTCATACTTTGATCATGTATTTTCATTAAAAATGATACTTAATTACCACTCGAAGATGATGCTTTTTTTTTCTCTTTTTAGCACTAATGAATGTGTGGGGTCGTGGTTTAGAACCAGAAGGCATCCAAGTTGGTGAAGAAGTGATAGTCTGTGCAAATTACAATAAAAGCATTTTGGAAGCTCCACGTCTGGTAGTAAAGAACCCATGTTAGTATTGTGGATTTCATTTGAAAAACCATATTTTTTTATTAAATTAATTGTTGATTTTAGTTAGAGTTGTGATAATGCCAAGTGGTAATTTAGTTTTAATAGAAGGTAGGAATGTAGTTTACTGTTATTATCGTTCTTTAGAGTGAAATTGACCATCGATTTCTTAATTAGGGCACCACTGAGATGTTAGAGGAAAACAAAAGTACATTTTGTAAGCTGATGAAACATTAAGAAAATACAAAAGTGACTTATAGTTTTCAAGAATTTATGAGATTGTAGATATTCAAAATTTGTATGCATAATTTTCAAATGTTAACCTCAGAAATACCATATAGGCGGTTTTTCAGATGATCTTTCAGTACCAGTTGATGAGGAGGAAAGTCTGGATTGCAAAATTTTTAAATATCAGCCGCAAGAACCTGGATCTCACACAATTGCTTTATTAATAGGTGAGGATCACATCGATAGAAGTCCATATAAGGTTCGTTTATTGCAAATTTTGATTGAAAATTTTGTAGGATGCAGATCTCGTAGTCATTAGCAACTGTTTGTTAATAGGTGCGGATTTTACTAGATATTTCAAGCAGTAGTGTTGTTAGATGAAAAATAGTAATGAATACTATTCAGTCCAGCGCTGAATGTAGGAAGGACATTCCAGTTTGGTTCTATTATAATGATTGTAATGAGTTCATTTGGTACTGCCGATAATTTCAATATTTCTATACATCATAATGATGAATCACGCTTTTTCCCTATTTTTATTTTTCTTTCTTTGGCACTATTTCCGTTTTAAACAGCCCTCATTTGTTTAAGGTAATGGTAATATCAGAAAACAAATTAAGAGCACGAGCATTTGGACCTGGTCTAGATGGAGGCTTTGCAAATTTACCGAACGTCTTCTTCATTGAAACATTCAGTCGTAATTTCGATCACATTGGTAAATTTTTTATGCAGATTGAATGACTGGGATTTTTACATTTATGTAATTCTTGAGTACTTGGAGTATTCCATTAAACTGATAAATACATAACCGTTTTTAGATGTCGACGTCAGCGGGAGCCCTTGGATAACAGAACAAAATTTTATGAATCCAACCGTGGAATTAAAAAGCAATCAAGATGGTTCAGCAGTTGCTAGTTTCACTGTTAGTTACATATTGTGGGAATTCATTGTTTGCTACAGTTAACTCTTCTTGTATTACTTTCAAATTTCTAACGAGGAAAATTTTGAAATTCTTTTTTGCTAGTCAGTAATTATTAATATGGTTATGAAAGTTTAATTTTTTGTGTATTTAAAGTCGACGTTTTTCTGAATTCCTCTCAATTATTCAGCCTCCTGTACCCGGAGTTTATACCGTGAAGGTTTGCGTAACTGGTCAGCACATTCGGGGTTCGCCATTTATAGTTCCAGTTCAGCAAGCTGATGATGATTTTAAAGTAATTAATATGCGTTTAACTGGTATTAAACAGGATCTTACTATCTTGAAAGGGCAGAATGTGATGTTTGGGATCAATTCAATTGATGACAAAGGTGTAGTTGTCAGTATTCCATAATTTCAAGTACCTCTTAACACCAGTATAATTATAACAAGCATATATATATAAAGATAGAGAGAAGATTGAACTTGCAGCTGGTGCTATATTGATTAGCTTGATATTAATTTTCATGCTTTGTTGAATTAGATTTCTACATAAGTTTTTCTGGTGAAGATGTTGTGTTGCATATCATGCGATTACTTTCTTTGGGCGAGTTTCGAATAAAGAACTTATATAAATGATAGAAGAACAGTGACATATCCTTGTTTTAATAATGCTCGAAAATATGCTGAAATTTAATACTGAAGCATGTTTGAATTGGTTGCCCTGATGTTTAATTTTATATTTCTTTTTTTAAGTGTTGCCTGAGCCTAAAATTAAAGTGTTGGATGAAAACAACCAAGAAATGTCTGTGACATTAACAGAAAGGATGCCAGGACAGTATGAATGCTCGTTCACGCCCGAAATGGCTGGTCGATATTATATCCTGGCATCGGTTAATGGTGTTGCTGTTCCTGGATCACTTGATGTGGTCTGTTTGCAGCTGTGTTTCACTTCATGGTCTTCATGATCTCTTTCAGTAAGATTTATAGAACAATATCATTGACAGTTACTTTTATACAGGTAGTAATCAAAAAATTATTGGATGTAAGCTGCTTTCTCATATATGGAACTGGTATTGGACGTAACATTTCTGTGAGTAAACCAGCAACGGTTATCATCGATCCACAGGAAGATGATGTGAAGCCGTATCATCTACAAATAATTCATCAGAACGGAAATAAAATCCATTTACAAACGATGAATGAAGAGAATGGAACTATTAGAGTGGATTACATTGCTCCAGAAGCAGGTCAGTATGAGGTAGGAAACATTTTCTTTCATTGCTAACTCTTTCCTTCATTGTGTCAGAAAGAATTGTTTAATGTCTATGTTCTTTCAGTTGATCTTATTTCATGATGATTTGGAATTGCTCAGGAAAATCATCAACGTTAAGCCAATTGATCTTTCATCATTTGTGATCAATGGTTTAGGTGAAGGTAATTACTAGTACTTGATGCTGTGAAAAAATTTAAACATATTTCTGTGTGTTCATGAAAAGCTAAACGTCTTTCATTTATCAATTGAAGTAAATACAATATTTCAGAAGCAGTTGTTGCTGGAATCACAAAACAAATTTTTATTAGTACTGGTAATTTAGTACCTCTTGGAAAGGGCTTGGAGGTTATTGTGAAAGAACCTAACCGGTCAGGTTATGTGTTGCCTCTTAAATATGATGAGAACAGAGTCGCCTACAAAGGTAAAATCTATGTCAAATTATTGTTTTCCTTGTAGTATTCGGTGATTTTTGGTACTCGTTTCAGGCATGTGGATTGCGACAAATATTGGAAAAACGGTGATTACTTATTTTTTTGATGAAAATTTGGTTCATGAAACACATGTTACTGTGTCGCCAAACGAATATGTGATAAGATGCAGGGCTTGGGGAGATGGCCTTCAACGTGCAATTGTTGGTATGCCGGCAAATTTTCAAGTTTACACGCGGGTATCTCCTATTCATTAACTGGAATGAAAAAAAATTAGCACAGAAGTTTTGTTCAAACTAGTTTTTATCGCGAAAGTTCTTAGTTTAGTACAGAATCGATAAGTTTAGGATTCTGGAAAAGGTAGGTTGAAAGTGGCCATTAGAGGACCGTCAGAATCGGAGACTAACGTTACTGATCATTCTGATGGATTGTGCACAGTAAAATATGTTCCTCAATTACCAGGAATATATGAAATAAGCATTCATTTCGGGGATAACGAAGATCATATCCCAGGTTTATAATGTATTTTTACGTCTGTTTTTTACATCCTTATGTTAAATAGCAATTTAATTCAATTCTCAGTATTGTTTAAGGCTCGCCTTTCTCTGTATCTGTCGATTACAAGTATGATCCGTCGAAAATATTGATTAGTGGATACAACAATGGATATGCACAAGCAGGTGTATCTACTTCATTCATAGTTGATGCAACGCACACTGCTTTAGAGCCTATCACTGCAAGATTGCCTGCTGGTTGTGAGCAGCCATTAGTTGAGGAAATTAAACCTCGAATATATAGAGTAACATTCACACCTAGTCCTGAAAAGGATGGGTTACTGCCATTAGAAGTTTTATATGGCGACCAGCTTTTACATGGAAGGTAATGGAGGAACTCATTTTTCATTTGAAACGATTGCTAATTATATAAGGAACACAGTGTAATTTTCACACTAAGTTTTCTCTATATATTTCTTTAGAAAAAAAAATGTTTTGAAAAATAAATGTCTTTATTTATTTGTATAGATTTCTATTTAATGCTTATTTACTTATTGAAGACCGCTTGACTTTACTGTGCAACAAGAAAAGGAATCACAGTTGGTAATTTTGAAAGATGAAACTGGCGCTGCTCTTCGTTCTTCTATACCAGCATCTCTTCGATATGGCGTTATTATTGATGCATCGAAAGTTATTAATGTCCAAAAATTGGAAGTTGAAATCAAGGCAGTTTTTTGTCTCTGAAAAACGATAATACTTGAGTCGTTGTTGTTTATTTCTCTGATCGTATTTATAGGGTCCCGATGGCAAGTTTCGTAAGTCAGCTTTCATTGAAACTGATGAAAGAGTTTATTTATTGGATTTAATCCCGGACATGATTGGCACATATGTTATAATAGTATATGGTGATGGAAAGCCGTTACATCCATTGCCTTATGAGTTGAATGCTACCTCTGTTGGTTCAGCAGAAAAATGTTACATAGAGCGTTAGTTTGATCTGTACCTTTGCTACAAAGAAGCAGTCTATAATCGTATTTGAAAAGAAATTCAAATCAGAAATTGATTCCTTATTTTTTCGACATTATTAATGACGCAGCTTACATATTATAAATTATGTTTAATTTCAGGCAAACCAATGGACAAAATTTGGATTGTTGGGGAGTCAAAAACTTTCAAGGTTAACGTGTGTTATGGAGGGGATGGGACTTTAAGCATTGCTTCTGATAGAGAAGATTTGGAAATTGATGTACAAGAAGAAGGCAAAGGTTATTATTTAGTGACATTTACACCACGCAAAGAAGGGTCTTACCAAATCGCATTGTTATTTGGAGGTGTTGCTATACCAAGTGGGACGTTTAACTTTCAGGTTAGTAAGAAACATTTGCTTTGACTATGACTCATATTTTTTGAAGTGTCTGCTTACATGAATAAAAGTAAAAATTTTTATAACGAACTATTTTAAAAAACTTTTATAAATATTTTGCAATATTTCTCTCGGAGGTCTTAACGTGAAAGCTCACAAGTAAGTAAGCTAAAGTTGAAATCTTGCATTTTTTCAAAAACTTTTGTTGAACTTCCTTAAAAATTTAACATATTCTAGATTTTTCAAGTCTATCGCTGAAATGATGTATTTTTTGTTAAGTTATATCAGTGTGAATTTCATCATTCATTTTTCACGAAAATTCCATTTGTTATTGATCTGCCATTTGTTAGTTTATTTTAAGCTGAAAATTTCCGCAGTTTACGTAATTTTTTGGTATGCTTACGGTGAGAGATGTATTGCTGCACAGTATTTGGCGGTTTCTATTTTCTTCCGTTTCATTGCTATCTCATTCTACCGTTCTAATAAGCGATCTTAAAAAGTAGTGAAAATAAAAAATACTTAAAAATATTTTTGCAATTTAGTTTTAAATCGTTGATTATGGCTGGGAGATCCTTTTCACTCAATGAGATTTAATTTAAATTCGAAAATCAAAGTATGCTATTTATGAATTCGGTGACAAAGGATTCGAATTACCAGTTTATATAAAGCAGTAATTTTGTGTACGATGAATAAATTTGAGGATCTTCGAGAATGAACAATACTAACACCAAAAAAAAAACAATCAAATGTGCATCATTTTCCACTTCATCAGTAGATTTTGTTCTATATAAATTTTTACTGTACCTTGCAAGTTCCTTCAAGTTTCACGTGTTTTCTGTATTTTATGGAACAACAGGATTTTCTTCTAAATACCATACTTAGTTGTTCCCTTTTTACTTGTATATAATTTGACGTTTTTCAAAAATGTGAAAAATTTTTAGGAACTGTGTCTTTGATATTAATAAAAATGCATTTTCACTCACTTAGTTAATTTTTATAACTTGCGTTTCAGATTTCTAAAATAACAGTAGAAAGCCGATGAGTTTATTGCGTATTTTGTTGTAGCATAAGAAAGTTTCGAATGTTATTTTAATAATAGATATTCGGGAAAATGTAAGTTAAATGAGAGTCTTCTCCTGCTAATGGATAATTAAAAAACTGCAATTCAAATTTATCATTTATCGTCTAGTGTTATTTCGTCTTAGCAAATAACACTTAGCAAATATCATAACTTTGTGTTTCCAGTGTGTGCCACCTGTTGCGGAAAAACCAAATGCATTATTATCAGATTCTGGGGAATGTTTAGATAATATTGAAGAACGTTTGATTCCTCGCACTTTTCGTTTCTCAGTCACTTCTAAATATCATTTTGAGAAACTAAGTGCGTATGTAAAAATGCCGTCGGGCAAGACTGATGCTGCACGTATTAAGGTTGCTTTCATACAATACATTTTTAGTATAAAGATTTAGGCCTTTTTGAAGTACTTGATAAGCCCTCAGTTTTATTCCCAAATGATTGTTTTTTTTTTCAGTCTTTTATATTTGTAGAAAGATTAATAGTCAATAAACTTCATTATAATGAATATTATTTTTTAACAAAGATTGAGTAACTCATATATCTAAAAAAACTGTACTTATTGTAGGACAACAGGGATGGAACTGTGACAGTAACATATGAACCGAAGGAATGTGGAAATCATCTACTTTCAGTCCAGCACGATGGAGTTAACATGTCCGGAAGTCCTATTTCATTTTATGTCAGTGATGCTCCTGATGGATATGTCACTGTGTATGGTCCCGGTTTATCACAAGCAGTAGTTGGGGAACCAGCACCTTTCACAGTTTGTGCTAAAGGTTCACCAGCTAAAGAATTAGCGGTTGCAGTTGAAGGAACTGCTAAAGCAACAATCAGGTGTCATGATAATAAGGTAAATTTAACATTTATGAATTGAATGTGTTCTAAAAATGTATGTTATAGATTTTCCATACCTTTCACAAAATTGCGCTGTTCTTTGAAGGATGGCACATGTTCCGTAGCATGGATACCACCTGTTCCTGGTGAATATAGAGTACACGTCAAGCTGTCTGGAGAACCTGTAAAAGGTTCTCCATTTGTTGTGGTAGTAGCTGGTGAAGGTCAAAAACGTGCACATTTATCAGTTGGATCTACTTCAGAGGTTTTATATCAATTATTACTTTTCCTTTGTCACAGATTTCAATTTTTAAAAGGCTGGCACTACATTTTAGTCTATTTGCGCCGTCGACTGTATTTTCGGAATAATGATTTTGTTTTTGTTTGGAGATATTTCTGGTGTCTGTGATGCTTATTAAATTGGAATGGATTGTGTCTCCATATTTCGATCATGTTGAACGAAGTTTTATTGGTTCATTATAGGTCTCGTTAAATATTGCAAATAAAGAAATCAAAGGATTATCAGCATCAATAAAAAGTCCAAGTGGCATCGAAGAACCTTGTTTTATTCGTCAGATCGATTTTGATCATATAGGTATAAATCTTTTTTATTGTGATGAGGGTTTCAATTCAGTCTTTTCATTTCTTGTACTTTCATGCATTCTTCATTTCTCAGTGTTTTCGATACTTTTTCAAGTTTTTTTTTCCTAGTAAATTATGTACCAGAAGTTAGTTAAGATTATATATATACAGGTGTTTCATTTACGCCACGTGAAGAAGGTGAACATTTGATTACTGTTAAGAAAAAAGGCGTTGTGGTACCAAAATCACCGTTCCACATAAACGTTGATTCAAGTCAAGTAAGATAGTTTCACTTTTTTAGGCCTTAAAGACATCACTTAATAGCTGTTTTTAATTGGCAGATAACATTATTGCAGGTCGGAGATGCTTCTAAGGTTGTTGTTAGTGGTACTGGCAAAGCGGATGCGATTTGTCAGCAATACAACAGTGTGATGATCGATACCCGTGGCGCAGGTATTGGAATTATTTACGTATGATGATGCCACAGATAAAAGTCTTAATTCTCTTTCTAGGCTATGGTGGCTTATCGGTATCAGTAGAAGGACCATCAAAAGCAGAGTTGAAATGTACTGAAGCGAATGAAGGATTGATTAACATTGTCTACAAGCCAACTGAACCTGGACTTTATGTTTTATCCATTAAATTTGCAGATGTACACGTCAAAGGTTAGTACGATTTGATTAAAAAAATTGGTCCTCTTTGAATTGATCTAACGCAGTTTTTTCAGATAGTCCGTTTACAGTACATTGTGTCGGTAAAGGATTGGGAACTGTAAAAATGAGTGCAACAAAAGAAGTGAATCAAGTAAGATTTATATTTCGTTTACTCTTTCTTTCGAAGTAATTTTTTGATTCGTATTAAAAATTTTTTTTGAAGATACTTTGGTGAAAAAATATTAAGAATAATGAATTAAGGCGCCGATAGTCATACCGCATCAGATAGCCGCCTTATATTTACGATTGGAAAACACATCTCCAATAGAAACAACAGCGAAAGTTTTGGATCCTGAAGGTCGTAGCAGTGATGTTGAAGTTCGTGATCTTGGGGACAACTTGTATCAAGTGAAATTCAAACCTGAAGTAGATGGTGCGCATGCTATTTCTGTTTTCAGCAAAGGGCAGCATCTTACAGGTACTTTTATTGACCTTTGGATATTGACTAGAGATGGGCTACTAACTTCTCAAGTGAAATCAGTCGTAATATTTTTAGGGAGTCCTTTTCAATTCACTGTCGGACATATGACAGAAATGGGAGCACATAAAGTGCGCGCTGCAGGAATTGAATTACTTCGAGGTGAAACAAATAAGAAACAATCTTTCAATCTCTATACTAGAGAAGCGGGACGGGGCGAACTACAAGTGGCAATAGAAGGTCCTTCAAAAGCAAATCTGCAGTTCCATGAGCATAAGGTTAACTTTTTATAAATCTGAATTCCTCATATTAAATTTTAAAGTGAAAATTTCTTACAGATTACTTTTGCGCAAAGATTGGTTTTTACTTCGTGGTAAACAAAGTTAAATTCTATCATATTTTTGTTAAACATCAGTACAGTATACAATATGTATTATATTGAGGATGGAAATTGTCATTTCGATTACGAAGTCAGTAAACCAGGAGAGTATATGATCACGATAAAGTTCAACAGTGAACACATACCAGACTCGCCATTCAAAGTTTGTTGCATGTTTTGTACATATAATATTATCATTGTGTAATCAAGTCAGTTCACAAGGAGGTTGATGTTATTTTCCGCTTTATTGATTCTAGCGCTGGATCGGCTTTACTCTGGCTTTACTTGTCTCGCGCTAAAATTTGTTGTACTAATCTCCTTTGCTTATTTTCGTGAAATCTATATTCATCACTGAATGAGATGCTTTCGAGCGTTTTCTTGAGGACTCTCGATTGAATATATGCTTGGATGTGATCAGGTATACTGATTTCCTTCGCGTAGTCCTTATGGAAGTTTGTTACAATCTCATCCCAATTTCCGTTCTGCATTTCATCTGAGTTTATTAGCTATTAAATCATATTTTCTCTTTTTCTCGTTCTAGACTGCTGGACTGCTGTCAGTCTGTCCTGACCAGTGATACCAACCTCTCACAAGTACTTCGTATCGCTTTTATCGTACACTTTTATGTCGATTCTCTCTTATTCTAATCAGTATTTTTATTCACATGCACTAGTCTTGGCTTCCAGTATTTCACGGTATTTATGCCCTTGAGGTGCTTCCAAAAACGCCGCCTTATCAGCGAATACTTCAATATTTAATATTTGTGACTGACTTGGCTGGATTCACCTCTAACTTTACTATTTCAAAGAACCTCTGGACTTCTTTATAGCTTTTACAATATCCTCGTGTGTAGCAAGGAGCTTGAGATCATCCATAAGTAATAAATGGTTCACTGTATGCATTCCTTGATTAGTGGAAACCGCCACCTTTGGGTATTCGAATGTTGACTCAACTGGTCCATGCATAAAGTGAATAGCAGCGGGTAAGTCTGTCATCTTGGAGAACTCATATTTTTCTCTATTATAATGCCTCCGTTGCTTTTCATTGTAACTGACCATCTGGTGATGCTTCCAGAAACCCGCAGCTAGCATGTCGAGCCTTTCAATACACTTAATCAGGTAATTGTATTGATTAAATCGAACGCTTTTTTAACGTCATACCACATAGTATAGAACTGGTTTCCATGGTCTTTACATACTGCGAGGTTTAAAAGTGCCTGCTCATTTGCACGTTGAACCTGGCCAACAGTTGTTTACAAATAGTCTTCTCGTGACAATATCTAATTGCATGCTCATGCCACATATTTTGTCGTCAACTTGTAGATGTTCGACTTCTAGGTTACTGGCCTGCAGTCGCTATTTTTGTGTTGAACATCAGATAGAATCATGAGTCCTGTTCCTCCTCATTCAAGCAAATCCTCCTTGTTATTTTCTATAGGTCTGAATGTAAGCAGGTGCACTTAATGTAGAAGTTAGACTTCATGGAGACTCGCCACCTTCTGTTTGGACAAATTGAAAACTATCTTTCTTAATTCGGCTTCAGATAGAGAAGTATTATGCGCCTCCTTAATCTGAAACGAATTCTTCCAGATATTCGTTATGCCGGTTGTCATCATCTCTCATTTCCCTAGTTCATATCGTGGCCCAAAACTTCCTGGTTTCATATGTCTTTACATTGAGGTTTTTACCTCCGTGAATCTGTCTTGCAGTCATTGATTCGGAGGATTCAGTGTAGCATATTTACCTGCTCACTGCTCCAAGTATATGTGAGTCAACACTTAACGAAGTTATTCTTCGCCTAGACGTTGTCTCATCTGACGTTCCTGGGCTTCTTGCATCAGCACCAGTTATTCCTACTTTTAATCTAGATAAAACTTAGACTCGTGTAGCTATTTGGTTCGAGGTACGTGTATTGTGACTTAACAGGCTTTCTTCACTTATTACATGTCTTGTGAAACGCTTCGTTCTATGGGATTTCCTTATTTTTTTGCAATATTCTTTGCTTCCTCTCTGCTCATCACGATACAATATGTATGTATCGTGGTTAAAGTTAGAGTATTGTTTATAAATATTTGACCATTTTTTTAAATTTGGATTTGCTTTGCAGATTTAATGAAGAATGTTTTAAGGTTTTCGTCGCACCTACAACTGGAGAAGCTCGCCGACTTGAACTGGCTTCCTTTCCAGATTCTGGTATGCCTGGTAAGGCATGTACTTTCACAGTGCTTACGCATCATGCCTCAGGTCATCTCGAGGCAAAAGTGCATACGCCAAGCAACAAAATAGAAACCATTGATATCGTTCCAATTGACGAAGGAGAATCATATGCTTTGCGGTTCATTCCGTTGGAGGTGCACTTTTTATCCAGACTTGGGGTAGATTTGCCAAAGATTAATACGGTAATAATTATTGAAATTTCTTTAACCGCATGTATTTTCAGTCAGGAAACTATTATGTTGATGTGACACTTGATGGGGCGCCAATGCGTGATTCACCATTTCGTTTACGTATTGGAACCAACGATGGTAATGATCCGACTGCAATAACAGTGAATGGTGATGGAATTCATGGTGGGCAAACTGGTCAGAGATGCGAATTCATTATTAATACTTGCAATGCAGGAAAAGGCCTTCTTGAAATTCAGGTTGATGGGCCTTCAAAAGTTACTTTGGATGCATATGAAGTAAGCTGCTTCATTCACTCTATAAGTTGAGACTCGAATAGAAGTCAAAATTTTTATTAGTTTTACGAGTGAATCATAGTATGTATTCATGTAAAGGTATCGTTGAATTTTCGATAATTTGATGAAGTAATATGCTTTCTAAGTCTTACAGCAATCATCGCTTATGTTTTATTTTTACTTATCTTATTTAATCATATCTATCAGTCATTTCTGTAGGCACTCTCCTTCAGAATGTAGAGTCAAATTGCTTACTATAACTAATGGCGTAATTTTTGCTCAAAAATCCGATGAAGTTGATTTAACATTTTAGCACTGAAAAATTGCATGAAAGCTTTTGCTTTTACTACTACTGAGTTTCAGATGGATCAAGGATACAAAGTGCAATATATGGCATTAGTACCTGGGGCATATTATGTTGCCATAAAATACTCAGGTATGTGCTTTGATTTATTTTTCTTAGTGATTATGCAAGTATGGAATCGTTAATCTGTGAAAGGATTTACTAGACTTGTAAACATATAAATTAATAATTCTAGTTTCGTGTTTCTTTTTGTAGGTGTCCACGTACCCGGCTCACCTTTCAAGATAATCATTGCTGGTAAGGAACTTGGTGGTGGCGAGCCAGATACCTCAGTTATTAAGGTTTTTTTTCCTAATAATCTGGCATAGAATTCTTTCTCTATTTCCTGCCTTTTGCTGGACTTGTATTGTTTTAGTACACAACTTATCAATTGCAAAATAATCCAGTTTCAGATTGATGCATTGGAAAAAACAAGTGAAGGAACGGTTTCTCAAGTTCCAGTTTTAAATGGAGATGCTAGCAGAGTTGTTGTAAAGGGTGCTGGATTAAATAAGTTCTTCCCCGGTAGACCAGCCACTTTCACTATTGATACTGGCCTTGCAGGTTCTCTGCTTGATTTTGTTTAAGTTGTCTTCCAAACAGAACATTGTTTTCAGACTGTTTGTTTTTATGGCATGAAAATCGTTATGAATAATGAGTTCAGCAAGTATTTTGCATATCAAATTACTTTTTCAATCTTTTACATCAAGTTCTATTAAGGTGAAAATCTTCTGTTCGTTGGAGTACTTACGGCAAAGGGGCCATGTGAAGAGGTTACAGTACGGCATCTTAGCGATGGCAAGTATGCAGTGACGTATCGTATTCAGGAGAGAGTTAAGGGTTTTATTTTTGTCAAATATGGGGAAGCAAATGTGCCAGGCTCTCCATTTGCTATTTCATTTTAATTTTTTTTCAAGTCTGCGACATTTCTTCACGTTCACAAAATTGTTTAGATTTTCCTTCAATACTTGTATGCTTTGTTCCATTATTATGCCTTTTTTTATTCATTCACTTTTGCTTATTTTTTGAAGAATTTTTTCTCATGAATAAGTGCATCTCAGAATTATGTCAAATGCTTTAAAAAAGGCATTATCGCTCTGATGTCTCTCTCCATGTCATATTTTGTCCTCATTTTCAACTATCAGCTTTTGCTAATTTTTACCAATGTGCATTATGCCAAATGCTTTCTCATAACCACAAATTAAAAAAATATAGGAATATTCAAATTTTGTGGTGCTTGCTTAGCAAATGGCTGTTGATAGCATTCTGCTCTATGGGTACCATTTATTTGCGTGAGTGCATGGATCACCATTTTAATTTCATTTATTCACACATTCTTCGGTTTCAATATGCATAAATTTGTTCGTTAATAAAGGGTGTTGAGGACATAAAAAGAAGCCATGATAACGATGTAATGTGAAAATTTGTGCATTACCCAATTGTAACTGATTATTGAACTGTAACGGATGCTACATATTGCCAGCTAAAACTCTGAAGCTTTGTCAAATGTAATGTTGCACTGAGACCAAATGTTATTTTCCTTCTTTCTCTGCAAATTTTATTACTTTGCTGCAGTAAATAATAGAATAGATCTGAAGTAATATATCTGTTGTAAATCACTGGTCGTATAATTTCTGTTGAGACAAACGCACAGTAGTTTATTGTAATTACAGTTCAAATGAAAAGATAAGCGGAAGTTAGAATTTAAAATTGAAAAAACAATTTTTGTGACTTGCGCAGAAGTCGAGATGGAATTCATTTAATACGATGTTCCGTTATTTTCACTTTCTGTTCTACTCCGTACTTGAATTTGCATGTTCCTTTCGTTACGTATGAGACAACCTTAATGATGGGAATTATGTGAGGCTTGAAAGAACGTAAATGATCTGTATTTTTGAAAACTTTGTAATATAGGTTCAATGTCATTAATAGTTAGGAATAAAGAGACTTCATTATTTCATTGCTCAAGTAGCTAGTATGATGTGTGATCTAGACTAAAACTAAATCGACAGGATTTTTTTTAAGATTATTTGAGGATATAAAGTGAGATGAAAAATAAAAATTAGTGATTTGAAGTAGTTTCTTTTTTTCATTAAGAATCGGTCGTAGTGTAATCAGTCTTCAAACAAGGGTTAGCTGTATGACTTTAACTTTTTTGCTGTCTAGGAAGTACGAAGGAATCAAAGCAATGGATGACAAGAATGCGGTTAGAACTCTCAATGATTAGATAATATCTTGGTTCCGGTTTTAATGAGAAGTTAACATATACAGTGAAATTAACTTACATCACTCTCTATCCTGAAACCCATTGCGGAATGATTAGGTAAACTGCGAATTATGTCTGCAATTTTGCCCTCAATTACTGTCACTAGACTGTTGTTGTCATTCACATGGGTCACTGTAACGATGATTCGCCCGAACATACGGCTTTCAGTTGAAAAAGCTCTGAATAATCAATCCTTTAGTGTAAAATGCAGCAAATTTTGCTTGAAGTGATATTTATCAGATTAAATCTTACATGGAAGGCCATGCGTTCTGCACAGATAAGAACTGTGGTTGCTAATCTTGGATCTTGACTCATTTGCATCAGACAGAAGCTTATTTAATGTAACTTCAATAGCCATTATCGTGGTTTTTGCGGAAATAAATCAAAATTTTGCATTCTAAAATAATGCAAAACAGGACCTTGTTTGGTGATCTTCTAAAATAACCAGTTCGGCAATGGTCTCACAGAGTGGTGGTACATGGACTGTACCATCAACAGACCATACAAGTTCTTCTTCAATGGTATTTTCTCCAACATTTATGATGGATAATTCACTGTGAAAGCCTGCATTTGCTTCTAAAATCTCACTCGGTACTTTAAGCTTTAAAGCCATTTCGATTCCACGACTTAGCCCTTTCTCTGGAAAGTATTTTTAGTTAACTATTGCATCTTTTACTAGATGCCATAAATAATTTTGAAGAAACTGAAATTTTTTTTTTTGGCGTTTGTAACAGAAATTCAATAAAAATTCATGCTAGGATTAAGGTCTAGCACAGCATATTAAATTCACTTTTTCCTCTTCAAAAAAAACTAGCCTCATAATCATTCAACGAATTTTGTGACAAAATTTAATGTTATATTACCATACATAATTCATTTCTTTCAGCTTGTTGTTATAGAAATAAACAAGAAAGCTTTTGCAGCTATAAATAACACTATGTTTAATTTGAGCATTACTGTTGCGTGGAAATTGCGCAAGGTTCTCACCAATGATCACTGTAGCAGTACTTCGAGTCGAGCGTTGTGTCTTGAATGAATATTCTTGCTCGCGTTCGGTTGTGTTAGTAAAAGTTGATTTGAATAAACACTGCTCCTCTTTTGATTGTTTTACATTTTTTGCATCCACACCACCTATCGTATATACTGTCTCCAGTGATTCATTGAACAAATGATACCAATTAATATTGTACTGCAATCTCATTTTTTCCAAATTATTTATTGAACAGTTTATTTGATACCAAATTATTTCTATTAATCAGATTCAGAGGTCTATTTCTGCCTATTTTTAATTTTAGTATTATTCACACAAACTGACCATTGTAACGCTGAAAAGTACTATTATTAGCATTGCATCATACAAAAAACTGAGCATTACCAAATATTTTCAGCGAATAACCATAAAAAAGTCATTGTTAATAATAATGCTAATAAAACCACATAATGATTGTCCCCCAGTATTTGTTTGGATGACAGTACATTCGTTACTTTAATTTCGAATTTGTTCACAAGAAAGTTTGTTAACTTGATATGCTTATCATGAATCTTTTCTAGTCAGTCAATTAGCAAATTACTATTTACTTTCTAATTTTCACAATACAAAATGCCATTGACTGTTTGCCTATTAGTTTTTTTGATAAAACAGTAATTTTGATCTTCATAAACAGTGATGATTTGCAATCGTTTAACTTCAGTACGCACAGTAAGTTCACAGGTAGTCAAGAGCAATATTTACATGAAACTAAGTAGAGCAATAGATCATTCCTTCAACTACATTATCGAAAATCACTTTTTCATTTTTTGGTAATTTTAGGAATTTTAAAATTCATCGAATTAATTTGAGAAATCTCAATATTATTATTACTCTCATAACAGAGTAATTGTATGTTGATCAGTTGAATAATTTTACCATGACAAGCTTCTTTAAACAAAGAAAGTATAATTGAGTAAGTTTCATTCATCCTTCCTACATGCTTGAGCCAGTAGAAAGGAAATTATTGGGAGTGGGGTCATTTACTCTCTCGATTATTTATATATATCTGATCCTTCAGCTATTTCCTTCAATCTGTTACTCAGCTTATAGAGAGCAACTGAAGCTTGATTTAATATTGAAGAGCAATCTCAGTTGCAGTAATAATTACGCCACTTCTGCTTTGCTTGTGGGAGTAAGCAAAGACATAAACCCTTACTGAAATCGTTAATAAAGGCGGTAATTTAATATTGGAAATGAGCCATGAAATCATCTTGGGAGCTACTCACAACAAACGCATAATTGTAGTATAATGACTGATTTCAATAGCTTTCTTGTTTGTTTATGCATAAATTGGATAATAAATACTATTTCTTGAATATTACTCTTCCATTCTTTTTTTCGTACTTTTGTTTTCGCCAAAGGTTGGCCTTTTCATTTTATCTGCTAAACATCACAAATTGATTATATTGGTAAACATGGGAAAAGTCAAATAGAAACCTTTGAAAAACTCATTCACGAGTATTTCTTTCAAACAATTGATTTAGTTGAATTCAAAATGTATTGGCTGAATAGATGATTTAACATTAATGCATGTTGTTAGTAGATCTTATGAATTATCTTTGCCGTCCTTTTTTTTACAAATATAAATGCATATTTAAGATATTGAATGCAGACATCAAATTATCATGCTAAGATGGATGATCCTTGTAATTATATTGCATTTATTTTATCACAAAGCTGCTGAGCAAAGACACCCAAAAATCTGCTATTATCTGAATGCAACAGAACTCAAAAAATAAAAATGAAGAATAAACATAGTGCAAACATCCGATATAAGCATGAAACTGCAAGTAAATGTTGTGACTAAAGTTGTAGGTAATAATGCTGCCACTACTCCTAGAACTTCTTTATTTCCGAGGGCATTATCATTCTACATTTACTGAGCACTCAATTTGTTTGTTTTAAAGAAAGTATTGGAAAAAAAAGTCATACTAAGCAAAATATATTTTTAATCAAGCAATATAAAATCTAGTCAGTTATTGAATGTGGTAGTCAAAAAATTACCAAATTTTTTATTTGTATGATTCTCGATTTACTACCACGATTATAACTAGCTGATCGTCTTTACTTCATATATCTTTAATCTAATTATTTATCTGTCATCGATCCTCTGTATTAAATATGAAATTATTTAAAATTCTTATTTACAGTAAGACAGAAAAAAGTGGTAGCTAATAAAATTCTCTGTATAACAATTTATTTGAAAAAAAGTACGTTCTTCATTTGGTCTTAATTTTGAATGATTAAGTATTTTTTGGGAATGAAAAAACATTGAAAGCGATATCAAATGTGTCACATTTAGCAGTATTGAAGTAGGAAATTAAGAAAGATGTCTGAGGCCTGTGAAAATGTTTGGGGTTTGAAAATTAATGGTAAAATCCATCAGAATTGATCACATTTAATTTTTAAAATTTCTAACAAACAAACTTTAACGACTTGATATGATATGAAGTACCTGTAGGTGTTTTTTCTTAATTTTGGCTTCCGTTTTGGTTTTTGTAACATCAAATATTTGTTTGGCCCAGTTTATCACTACAGCTTCAAGATCGACTAAGTCTTTAAAGTTTGCACCAATTGAACTCGATGGATTCATAGATTCTGTTGCAGGCATCACATTAATTGACAATAGATCTTTGTCATCCCTTGTTGATTTAGCTGAAACCTTTATTTTGCCAGTCAACGAAATCCAAACTATCCAAAAATCATTATTTTCCCTAGTCTAACCATTTTAACTAACTAATTTATGCCTACTTTCATATGTCCTATATGTAAGAAGTATTCAACTTTCAAGAGTTTTCTACTATACATTTTCACAACAATATTTTTGTTTCGAAAATATATTGCTAGATAACAGTATTCCATCTCATAGAAATGTCAATATTTAAAAACGAAATGGGCTGGAGCATTCTATTTCAGAGAGAATGAAGTGACGGAGATTTATGTAATTTGTATGCCTAAAATGATATCTATGTCAAAGGTCAAGGATTAAAAACTAATTGAAATAGTAAGGAGCAAACTGAATTAGAGAGTAAATGAAGTTGACTTCTGATCTTGAAAGGATGCATGGAATTTTGTGGAAAATCGTTCTGTCATAAGATGGAAAATCAATGTTAGGCAGGGGAGGATGATGCAAGACTACGGTATGCAAAAAAAAAAAGCATCTATCGACTTTTTCATTTCCCTATACTTTATCGATGAATATAGAATTGATTGATTGTTTGTTTTGAAGTATATCATTTTCAATTTACCATAAGATCCAAGTACAGAAATAGAAGAACTGATCTTCAAATGTAGAAGAAGGAAAAGCAGTGATTGTAATATGAAGCAGAGATAAAAATAAATTCGTGTCAAATAAATTTATGCTTTTGCTTATTATTGCTATGTTAGCCAGCCGTATGTAAGTGAAATTGTTGATAATTTATTCCGTTTATCTTTTTAAACTACCGTAGTAAGAACTGCTTCTTATCCGGCAGTGCGTAAATCGGGAACTTGACTAATTCTTAGTAGCATTTTAGCAGTTTTTACAAAAAAAGAACTCTATAGACTATTGTCTTGAAAGACCTTCAATAGAATGAACTGAGAAAAAGTAGCTTAAGCTTAATACTTTCATCTATCAATGCTCATACTAGTAATATTCCAATATTATCCATAAAAAATCTATCCTTTGTAAAAATAGCTAAAAAAGATCTTAGAAATGAATTATTTAACAATTTTTACAATATTTACTAAAGTTCACTCACTAAAATTTGAATAGATTTTGAAAGCAGGATAGAATGGAGTTTCTGTAGTAGCATCCTTGTAATGCTTCGAAAACAAAGTTCATTAATTGCTGTTATCTTTTTTGGAACTTCCAGATTTCATGGGATAATACTCAGAAATATTATAAATACTCTATAAATATTTCTGAGTATTATCCCAATATTTAATAGTAGATTTAATAATATTTTAAAATTATTTTTGCAATTATTTGATTATGGATTCATAGTTAAGGCGATTTTCAGTAGCACAAAATTATGGCACAATTATATAAAAACTTTCCATAAATGGACTGCTGATAAATGCCTACAAAAATAGTTGTTAATTTTGAACTTGCGATTTAATAATTAATTACCTACATAGCACATAGTAAGCATAACAATAAAGTTTTGTAGCCGAAAAAATTATGATTTTAATCATTTGATGACTGTTACAGATTATCACAATCTATTTCAGATGCAGTCAGCTCAATAAACTTTTTTGATCACTGAATGTTAGAAATTACTTAATATGAATGAGCCAGAAGAGAAATTGACAAATAGATTAAAGACGAAATAAAAAATTAAAGGTAGCTTTTGTTGATGAATGTTGAAGGCATAGATTACATTATTACACTTATTACCATTCTAGATAACTTTCGTTTGCTTACTTGTCTTTCTCTTCAGTTTTAATTTACTTAGGGTTTTGTAAGAAACGGTAGATTCAGTAGCAATCAAATAACATTATTGCAGTCACGTATTTATTTATGACAAGAGTCTTCCACTTGTGTATTAGTTTGTAAAAAATAAAACATTCCATGTAGTTAGTTCTCTCTTCTCAGCAAATTGAATCAAAATAAGCAACGAAAGGAAAAAAAGCTTTACCACAAAATAAATCTTTCAAAATTTGAGTCATCGTTTTGAAGCCGAAAAATAAAGCTTCAAAGCTGCTTCTTTGAGAAATATAGCGTAATTTAAGGGAATGATATAAGTAAAGTAACGATTCAGGCTGAGTAGTACAACTGAAAAATATAATTGCCAAGTACTGGGTTATCAATACTGATATGTATAAAAGCCTGACTGGCAAGCTAGAAAGCACAGAAAAGTCCATCTTTGTGCAATTTCGCCCACCCATCTACTAACACATGCACATTATACATCCATTCATCCAACGAATTGCTAATGAGAAATGGCACCGCCTATGTTTGCTCAGAAATGGCTGACAGTTCATTCACTGCTGCTATCTTCTATGAATTAATTCATTTCCTCCCATTTTGGCATGAAAACATGTATTCACGTTGCAATCTCTATATTGTCCTGAATAAACTAGCAGGCAATTGTTAAGGAAGCGTTTCAAGAGCAACCAAATAAAGTAGAAAGCACGCAAAATTGCACACGCAAATGAGACTCAATCCTTTACCTTTCTGTTTATCTCATATTGCAAACTTGTGAGTTTACTACTCTTACTTTTAATTTTCTTTATTTTGTTTAACGTGCAAGTGATGTGCAAATTACGTAACATTTCTGCACAGTTTGCTGCTTAGAAATACCCATTATTTTGTGCTTTGACGTATGCAAAAATATGTGTGTAACCAACGTTTTTAATTTCTTTTGTTGCTACAAAAAAAATAGCTCACTAATACTCTAAAAATATTTTATCTTTTATTCTTAACACCTGTCTTTATTCTTTTACTTAAGCAGTTCTCATCTACAAATGCCTTTACGTCGCGTGGTCTTTTCCTCTATAAAGTAACAACACAGCTGTTTTCAGTATTCAAAATATTTTGAATTAATTTGTAAATGAATTTATTTCTTTTTAACTTTTAGGTTACAGTTTACTGATATTGGAAAATTTTCATTGCAATTTTATGGTATAGCAAGTATGCACAATTTTAATACAATCGTTCTAAGCAAAAGATTCATGCATTTCTGTATTTGACAAGTTCATCAATATTTTCCTAATACTCAAATTTGTGGTCTCAAAATTAAGAAAAATGAATCTACAGTTATCGCTACATTCATTTAACAGTTTAGGTTTAAAAAAATGAAGCTTTAAGACTTTGCATCATATATTTTGTTCTATTAGTAATTTAAACCATATAGGAATCTTGCAGCTGAGAAGATAATACGAAAGTTCCACGCTTTGCAGTTATGGTTGAATTTTTGCAGCTTGTCTTTTGCTAGGAAGCTTGCGTCTATAAATTTTGCAATTTTAAATCTTTGCATGTCATGCCAGAATCTGTTGTAGTAATTAAGAAAGCACGCAAAAATTATCAAAATCTAGGATCTTAAAATTGTTGTTTCTGACTAAATTAATATGGAAAAATGTTTGATGTGATCATACCCATGCTTGCATCCATATTTTAATTTCTTGTTAGCACTGCTTGTTTAAATTACATTGGTAAAAAAGTTTCAGAAAAAATTTCAAGTCAAAGGCAACTATTAAAAAATTAAAGTATTAGTGCTTATCAAAATGAAATATTGGTACAAAAACGCTCACAGAACTAATGTAAGAATTAAATTTTTAGCGAATTAAAGATGCAGCGTTTCAGAGCGTATGTAATGCAAAACATTAAATTCTTAGTTTTACAAATTAACACTTTCAGCTCTCATGAAAACAGAATTTTTTGCTTGAGAAAATGAAGATAAATATTAAGATCCTTAAATCATTTATGTAATTCTTTTCGTGATCATCCCATCCTACTTTTCATTCAATTTAGTGCTGATTTTGATACTTAATTCCTTGATGCTACTAGTTTATCACGCGAGCTTCATTTGCAATTAGCACCTGCACAATAAACTTGTTATGAAGCAGTTGTAGAGGATAGAAATCTTATATGGCATAATTACTATTTTACATTTTGTAAATATTTTTTGCTGCAATAATTGCGCATTTCCAAACTATTCTGAATCAAAAGAAGTAGTCAAATTTAACTTTCAAATTGTTTATTTTATCTCAAGCAGTGCTCGATTTAGAGGAAACGTTATGGAATAAGCTGTGCATTTAACTATAAACTTTCTAATAGAAGAATTATAAGAAGAATAAATATAGGCATGGAAAACAGAACAGAATGACAAGATCAAAAACGAATCTGTAGTAATTTTGTTATTTACATTGAATAGAACGCAAAATTCAAAATTCCTTCTGGAACATTATTGAAAATATGATCAATCGAGATCTCAGCAGTTGAAGAGAAGGTTAGATAATATCGCTGCTTGGGAATAGAAATTTCTGTGTTTTAGGCATGATGTTGAAGCTGGAAACATGCAAGTAGCAAATAATATACTGAATTTGAGGGAAGAAATTAGGCATCAGCTTATGCATTCGAAATTAAGTTTATATTCAGTAAATAATCACCAATATATTTACAGCTATGTGCTGCTCTCACTGGCTCTGGCTGTCATTATCACCCTTTGGATGTACAAATGTGGAAGGTAAACTCACCTGATAACTAAAATTTCTCATCATTTTGCATTTTAAAGTCTAATTTTCGATTTTCTTGATGAGTAACTTTATACATAATCTGTAAAAAATTTTCTTGCTGCACCTTCTTAGACAAGAAAAGATAATCCATTATTTGATTGACGTTGCAAGCAACTGAGTTCAAAACTGCTCACTTTACATTTGTGAAAAGATGCTAGTCATAATAAGACTGTAATAGGAAACAATCCCACAACTACATTTACTTTTGTTACCGATTTCTCTTCAAAATTTTTTGCACTATGTACTGCGTGATATATGTAAAAGCAGTTTTTTAAAAAGAAAACGAATTTTTTGAAATTGGACAGTTATTTTTGAGTACTACTTAAAATTCGCGAATAGTTAGGTTTCTATTAAAATTACAATAATAAATGGGTACCATTTTGGATTAAATATTCCTCTCATCTATTTCCATTATTTAAAGAGATACAATGTGAATGAATAAGTATGAGTAATAAAACTTGTGATCACCACAGTAACACAATAATTCATGAATAAAAAACAGTACTGTAACTGAATGCTAGCTTACTGTGCATTTTATGTACTGAATCCTCAAAATACTATTGCGATGAAATACATTTGTAAAAGATGTATTTCCCATACATTATTTTGTCCCGCCTGGAATATTCTGCTTTCTACTGCTATCCAATAATCTTCATGTGCTTGTGTGAAAAAAAAACTGTACAAAGTGTTTTTTGAATAAAAGAACGTTGATGGAATTTGAAATTCTAAATATGGCGCTAAATGACAGATCATATTGCTATTTAATACTTTCATATCATAAAAGAACGGACAGACATAAAATGATATGTACGGCAAGACGCAAATTTTTATGAAAATTCAATTTTACAAGGAAAACAAGCAAGACATTTCTCGTCTGTGTCTGGTATAAACTTTTAAATGAGAGTTGACAGAGTTCTAATTTTGCTTGTAAAATATTTTTAGCTTTCACCAAAATTAATTTAGCACGTCAAAGTCAAATCATTCAAAATAAAACGCGCTAAAATAACTATAACAATAAGCTAATATTAGGTAAAGACTAATTATGCATCTTTAAAATGTTAACGATCAAATGGGATGCTTAGATTTTTCAGAATTTAAATTATTTTCTTCAGATTGACAGTATCATAGCATTTATACAACGTCATATAAAACTGGTATTGTGATAAACAAAATAAACTAACAAATAATAACAAATTATTAAAGTTTTAATATAATACAATTTGCTTTTTGTGTTTGGCATGCAAAAGAGATTCCTAAAATGCAAAAATCCACAACTTCAGTCCCATCAAGAATTGCATGACTGAAGTTAACAGGACTGCCATCAATACTTCAGTATCATTCAACAGTTACTTATTATGGATTTTACAAAATATTAAAAGTTTTGAATGATCATATCAAAGTGGGACTGTAAATCATTAATTGCAGAAGTTACGACTAACAATGTAATGACATGTGTCACATTTTACTTCGCAGCACCATATGAATTTACAACTGCACTGCTCCTCTTTTACTGTGCGAATTGTTTCATAGCCTCGTCCACAGCAAATTCTATAATTTAGGAACGTTTTGTTTCAACTTTTCAGTTTTGATTTATTTTTAAATCAAAAAGTAAACTGCAGAAAAATTAGTAACTAAGCATATTATTAAGTATTTTGTTAATGAACAGTTGTATAGAATAATGTAAAACTAACGTTTCACATTTCCCAAAACATTCACGACCCTGCGGACCTCGTACATCATTTAATTTATCTTCTTTACAATAATCAAGCGAATCATCCAAATAAACAAGTTCATTTTCTAATGGTAATGTCTTTCCAAATTCATGCAAATATCTCTCCGCACGAGTTCCTATTCGCTCCATCCGTGACACTAGACTTTTACTTTTAAGTGATACAGTGACCTGAAATTACTGATAAATTTTAAACTTCCCAAAAATTCTAATAGTCTTTTTTTGATGAGTATATCAAAAACGAATAAGAATAGATGTAAAAAAAAATGAAGACCTTAGCAGCGTGTGAATACTTTTTCCTTAAGAATAAGCCAATTTCTTCTAATCTTGGCACAATTTTCCAACATGTTTGCATAGTGCATGAGCCACTGACACCATGACACTTGCATTCACGATGTATGCCATTCATCACAGCTTTTCGCCCAACTCGATTGTTGTGCAAATTCATCATTGATCTAAAATGTTAATGAACAGCGTTCCCAATTCAGTTTATCATTTAGATACACAGTTTTGACAGAAACTGATACAAGGATGAAAATGTCAGATTCATCGTAAGTTCAGCATTAGTAGTTGAGACTATAATTGACTTCTCGGTTATCTTAACAAACATCCTACTACTGAAAGTTTCATGACTGATCAATATCAACCAGTATGCAACAGCAAGCTTTAAAAATTATGCCTAGAAAAATTTGATTTGAGCATAATCGTAAACTACTTGCTTGCATTACACAGACTAGGAACAATCGGGAACAATTTAGCTGTTATCTGTTTCTGAAAATATTTAAAGAATAATAATATAAGATTAGATAATGTAAAATTATAATCCCGAATCAATAAATGAGTCTATTAAACGTTCGAGATATTGAGTTAAAATGTAATATCAACCAATTTAACTATGAGAAACACCGAAAAATCCAAACCGTGCATCATTCGTATGAATCAAATCAGCTGCATCCATAAATTTACGTCCAAAATTATTTGCATATTTTACGTTATCTGAGCATCCAGCCCATATAAATTTTTTGTTGAGACGATTCGAATATTTACCACAGCTACAGCTTGAAATAACACCTTGAGCACATGCTCGAGCTATGGCTCTACTCACAGCTGCTGATGACAGAGCAAAAACAAATGCTGATTCCTTGCTTCCCACTTAACATTTGGAATTTAAATGAGAATTTCAAAACAAATTTTCAAGTTTCGACCATTTGAAAGTCATTGTGTTCAATACATAAAAGTGAAAAATTAGCAAATATAGCTATTTTTCAAGCATATCGTATTCTAAAATTTTGGTCCATTTATTTTGTATGAACGAATCCCATAACATTTTGCGAGACTGATTTAAAATAAAATAAAGCTGAATCTCAATGAAATTACTTGTGGGAATTTTTCGAAGTAAACCAGACCAAAGATTTTTTTGTGGATGAAATGTTCAATAGCAAAACACCACATCTTTGATCATTAAAATAAAGAACAAAAGGCATAAAAAATCAGAATGATCATCTCGACAATTAATTGGAGTATTTCCTAATAAAAATATGCTTGGATTCAAATAACATGAAGACCTCTAAGATGAGAAATTGCAAATCCCTTTCGATTAGCTGAGCAATTCCATCGTTCATCGCGAAACTGATTTTTGCATTCATTTATGGCAGCTTTCAGACCTTTAACAACATAACGCATAGCTGTACGATGGCGCATACATAAGTTATTTTGCTTTCTTGTTAATCCAGGTAATATTCCACAAGCTACACCGTTATCGTGGAATAAATTGTTCGAAACTTCAGGTAGAAGCCTATAAGTTTGACAGCCAAATAAAGCGTATACAAGAGTTTTCAAAACTCAAGATTTTACTAAAAGCACTACGTGATGAAGTTTGAAACTATTTGTATAATGTGTTTGAAGTTGAAACAATAAATATTTTTTTAATAATTAGATTAGAAAAGTAAAAATTCTCTCTTCATTTGGATGGCAGAAAAAAGTAATAAAAAACATAAATGTGAAAAAGGAAAGAGATCAAAATACATAACATGCAATATTTTCTTTTGGCTGCAATAGTAGTGCCAAAGAGAGCAATAAAACTAATAAATGCAACAATTTTTATGTTTCGTACTCCTTGACCTCTAAAAACTATCCATAGCGCAAGCTTTTAATTTCAGACATCTGAAAGTGCTACTGCACCGAGAATCATAATACTCATACTTTTTTAATACTTTTTAGAAACTTAGGATTTAGAACACTTTGATCCACGTAAATATAAAATCTTCAGAATATGAATAAGTTAGTGAGAAACTAAACAAATTTAGGCAAAAAATAATTTTAAAAAAATGCGAAAATGAAAAAAAAAAGTGAGAAACTGAATAATTAGGAAAAATATATTTCCAGTATGTAAATTTTAGTATACACATATTTTAAAATGGACATATTGAAAACAATTATTTTAGAAAACAGTATTAGACTTGTATTAGTTATTCAATAATCAATATTGTAATTGAGAAATAAGTAAAAGTAATTGATTGACGGATCTGGTACACAAATAAGAATTCATTACCTTTCTAAGCAGTAAAAAGTATTTTCTATAATAGAGCTAATTTTTTTATTAGTAAGGCCAAAAAAATAGTGGAAAATAATGCTTTATAACTAACTGCTTCTTTAGAAAGATGTTCAAGTACTGTAAAAGTTGGTGATTTTGAAATAAATAGAATTATAAAAGCGTTATTACAAAAGAGTGATTAATTAACAGTATCTATCTGTATTTGGATATAAAGTCTAGTACCATCACTAGAATGAAGCAAAAAATGGATTACCTCAGAAGGTTTGTAAATCAGAAGATTCAAAACTAAACTCTGTAGAATATGAAATATAGCTTCAAAAAACTTTGCTAGCGATTCGCGAAAGTCTGCTAGCAAAGTTTGTTTTGAAAAGTACTCTCAGTTACGCAACTTGTTATGTATATGCCATTTTTGTATTTGCATAATGTGTACTATCTGCCTGCTTGCAGTATAATCCTGCCATTTGCATACAAATTCAAAATATTTATCTACTTCTTATGAATTATGAGAAATACTTATGAACAACCATCCAAACACTGACTCAAGCTTTTGAATCACTACGGTTTTCTCACCACAAAATTGAATTTGTTATTTTTATTATATCGAACTTTTAGAGAGTAAGAAACATGCTTTGAACTGGAAGTAATGCTTACTGTTATTATGAGAAATACATGGATTTTATTTACAGTCTTTACGCATATAATTTATTTTGTATTTGTATTTTTTTGAAACAACTAAACTATCTATCATAATTCTGAGGGAATTGCTGCAACAAATTATGTGTCAAAAATTCGATATTAACATAAAAGCAATTTAAAAAATGAATCACAAAATGTAACTTACCACCAAGAATGTGAGACAGAAGTGAAGAAAGTAGAAATTAAAAGCAGTAAGAACACAAAATTCGACATTATTCTTGTTATGAATAATAAAACCTAAGCAGGCGCTTTATTAAGATTTGTGTGCCATTCATGGATGAGATAAAGAGAATCAAATGAATGACTATCTCTTCTAGATCATTTACAACTATGATAACTGTACCTTGTACTCATATACTATATAGCACCGCCTTCCTTTATTACTTTTATAGTTCTACTTCCAATAATAAAATAGATTAATAATTGATAATAATAATAACAACAATAACAGCTTACGATAATAATAAATAATAGTAAAAATAATAATAGTAATATTAGCATGACCAACCCCACATCATGCCTACAAAAGTGAAGTGTTGTCCAGCAGTTCCTCATCACATTTATTCAGGAAATTATCACATAGTTACATTACATTTTGTATACTTGAGTATATCTTCTTATAATTTATTGAGTACGTATTACTAAACTCATAGCAATGAACCAAAGGCTATATTTTTGAGTGGTGCAATGCATAATCCCTACAAATTCAGGTACCAATTAAATGATTATCTCTACTCCACAAAAAAATTTCGATTACATGACACTGCTTAGTATATAATTAAAACCGACTAGAAAGCGCTAGATTTAGCTTGCTTCCCCATTGCTTACATCAGCAGTACCACCACCAACAAGTACAAACTCTACCCACATGTGCTATTTCTCGAAAATTAATGAGTGATCTATTTCTCTAAGTTCATGACTTGGGAACTAGACGCTTTTTTCTATATAGGTGTGAGAAATTACAACCTTTATCCTGTAATTGACAACCGTTGTTGTTTTCATTAAACTGGTAACAATCTTGCATTGCAATAATCTTGACATGTTTATCCCAAAAACTTGAAGATCTAAGAGAAATATTATAACAGTGTAAAACTTTATGAACGCACACTAAAATTGTACTACATAAATTATCCTCATGCACATTATCGAGCATAAAAATATAACATTCCTAGTGGAACTAATCCATGGATTAGAATTCTTAGGAACTATAATATAAAACATAACAATAACTTCATAACTTCAAAGAAAACAAGATATAGTAATTGAATTATAAATAAGAACAAACGTTTGAAGAAGATACAGTTTTGCAAAAAAATAATTCAAAATATAATCTTCCATGAGATCAGAGATGAGCAAGTAAATATTAAGCAATAAAGATAAACATCAAGATACCTAGAATATTTATGTAGCTATGGATGACACTTTTTACAGCTCCTATTCCAATAAATAGCAACACACATCAACCTACAAAGTTACCTGCTACAGAAAATTTACTTTACAATAACAACAAGTTTAGGCGATGAGGCAATCTTTAGGTCTAACGCACTGCCAAAAATACATAAAATTTGGCATTCTGCTTAATAAATATTGCAGTTACATGGTGATCATACAAAATGGTAATCATATAGAATAGCAAAAAATTATGCATAAAGTATAAATTCATTAAAAAGACGATGCATTTGCAGAGCAGCCTTTTTTAACCGTCGTCTGTGAGCCACACAAGCCATTATGTTTCTAAAATCTTTTTTTACTTTACACTTTATTCAACGACGAAAACAAAGTAATTGGATTCTTATTCGACGAAAAAAAAAAAGTCAATGCTACTCCAATGAAGAATAACGGTTCTAAAAAATTGAATAATATAAATTTTGGCACCAAAATTGTATCCCTAATTTTTCTTTTAACTCGCAATGCAGTGTGCCGACATTCGATATTTGAACTCCAACATTCAGCTATCAGTTCACAGATTTCTTTTAAACATATCTGGAAAAATAAACAAGAGATAAAAAAGAATTCTCTTCTAGTTTTTTTTTTTTTTCCTCAAAATTATACTTCCAGAAAATCATTTGGAAATTTCAAACTTAAAAATAACATTAATCAATTTTAAATTGACTGTAGACTAAAACAGTGAAAATGTAGAAATACATCGTTGATCCAAGCATCTTCCAATGGTGGTCTTTTGCCTTGCATGCAAACGATGCGATGCATTTGTTCAAACGATGGATCCGGATCAACCATACCATCAAACGGTTGTATTGGAGGCCGCGTAATTAATGACTAAACATAACGATGAAACCAACCTAATTAGTACTACTATGAAGGAGTGAATAATTTTTTCTAACATCAGTCAAGACATCAGAAAAAATTTCATTTCAAACTGACTAAAGAATTGTCCGAAACATTTTGCTGATCCACGATATTGTTTGAAAGACAGAAATATTTAGGTACATCAGGATTAACAACGAAACCAGGGACAACCTTTGCCGTGGCACATCCGCTACCGCTGCTTCCAATACCACTATCACTTTCTGAATTCCTTGAAAGACAATTATCTTCCTGAAAAATGATTTTTCCGTAAAAAGACTTACTTTAGATGGAAAATTCTTGAACAATAACTGCAGGAGAAAAAAACTTCCTGATGTGAATAAGTAACTTGTATTTGAGTATTTGAGGGTACCGGGCAAATTGAAAAGTATTAGTTAAGTGAAAACTTGTTCAAATGACATCATTTTAAAACAAATGTCACCAACTGACCTCAATACGTCGGAGTATTTCCCAAAGAACTAAAGAAAATGAATAGATATCAGCCATTTTGTAATGATAAAAGTTTTTGATATTAAGCGACTTGTCGAGCACTTCTGGAGCCATATATCGCTTAGTACCAACTTGTATATTTATTCCAACTTTAAATTTCACCATATCTTCCCTATAAAAACGATTAAACTGCGCTCATCTTTTTGTATGAAACTAAATTTTTCTGTAAAATAGAAAAGTACGAAGATATATGATAGTTAAAAAATCAAGGTGTGATTATAGAAATGATAACCAAGTTACATGTACTTACGTCAATGCTAATCCAAAATCAGCAATGCAACAAACATAAGGTCTTTTTACAATAATATTTTTTGATTTTACATCACGATGAGCGATTGCTGGTTTCTGTGGTGTCCCAGTTCCATGCAATGCACTATGTAAATGCTCCAAACCACAAATTGCGCTGCGAATTTACAAGCAATAAAGTAAAATGACTGCTTAGCTTAGAATTAGCTTAGAATCTTTCAAACAAAACTTTTTGCATTTGAATTTTCTCGAAATTATTACATCTGTTTAAAGACATAAGATATTTCACTATTGAAAATTGAGCCATAATACTGTTTTCGAGAGTAATTATCACCTATACGCCAGATGTAAAGCTTCGCTAATAGAAAGGGCTTGCCCACGCTGTAAGTATTCAAAGAGAGAACCATAAGCATGAAAATCTGTAATCAGAAGCATTCGTGTGATTGAATCTTCACTTCCAATATCAGCGGCAACAAACTCTACAACATAAAAAACCATTTGAAAATTGAAATCTCATTTTACATCTGACGAAAAAATGCAGAAATTAGTTTAAAACTACTGAGAACTTACGTAAAATATTTTCATGATTCAGCATTTGCGTCTGATAAATTTCTTTTTCATTTTTCCACGAATCCTCTTCTGTTGTATAAAATGTCTAAAACAAAAAAAAATTTAAAAATGCATAGCATACATACCACAAAAAAAGTAAAGATACTTTAACGGCAACGATACGGTCGCCACGGTATCGCGCTTTTTTCACTTCTCCATAACGTCCTTTACCAACTACAGATAGAAACTCCAGATCCTGTGCAACCGTTCGTTGATTCAGACTGGCAAAACCAGAACCAGAACCACTACTGAAGTTATAATATATAATGATCATAATAACAATAATAATAATACTAATAACAATAAGATTAACTTCCATAAGGAGACAATACCAATGCATGCAAGAATAATATATAGATATATTATATTCATATATAACAAATCTGAGCGGGGGCAAGTACAGCTAGAATGCCGGAAGACGATCCAGCCCAGAATCAATAAAGTGGAAAAGAAGATTAAAAGAAGATTAAACTCCATAATGATGTATCTTTTTATATATATATCTAGCAAACAAAACATTATTAAATCTGTACATTCAAAATCAGACGTATAGCTACCTAACATCGTGAAGCATAGGAGCTTTTTCGCTCTCCTCCATATCTGTTATTTGAGGGACTGTGTCTTGACGTGATGACTTCAGCTTGCGCACTACAGAAGTTATTACAAAATATTATAATTCAATACTCAAAAATGATTCAGCAAAACTTCAAATCAAATCACAAAATTATTTCATACTGTAAAAAAAACTTTCGCAATTTGAAAAATTGATAGCAAAGTGAAAATTAATTTGATTAGGAAAGTAATGCGCAGTTCAATAGCAAAATTTTATGAAACCTTACTTATTAGCTCTCTTTTCCAATAAAATGGTATTGCTATTACAGTAAATACTGAAAATAGAACAGCGTAAATAATAACTGCGAATGTTGTGTGAGAAAATATAGAACGATCAAAAACTACTTCTGAAAAAAATACAAAATTTTTGTACACTATACCCACACAGAAATATTTGAATTTTAATCCAAAAACGGGATTAAACAAAACGATTCTTGTTTGAATTGAGATATGAAGCTAGAGATATAGAGCTTTAGATTTGATGTGATTCATCTAATTTTAATAATCAGAACTTCGCCCTTTATTTTCCACCAAATTTCTTGCGAGATAAAACTAAAATTAAACTTTCCTATACCTTCAGGTGAGATATTGGAATAGGATGGGACAGATAAATTGCGATTGCAGTAATTTCCTTCTTGACAACAAACGATACTTTTAGGTCGAGCATGGGCAATCAAATAAGCCTGACACTGAAAACTAGATTTTGAAAATGATATTCAAAGTCATAAAAATATGAATTCATGAATATAGGCATTGTTGTTTCACTTTTCATAAATTTTTAACATTTGTTTGGCCAATGCACTTTCTAACTCTTGTGCAGGCAAAACAAATGTTAAAGATTTATTACTGATTTATTTATTGAAATGAAAGGGAAGACTTGAAACTCTTCTACTCAGTTTAAGAACGTGTAATACTTTTCCAAATTAATGTGGAAAAATAAAAATAAATACAGAAAGCTAAATATTTCTGTGATAATAAGTATCTTACAGTAAAATAAGAACCATCTGATCCACGAGTTAATGGGGCGCAACCAAATAAATGTGTGGTTTCCATTCGTTTTAATTTTTCATTGTAAATCTAAAAAAAATGACCCTTTTTTCGAAAATGTAAATTAATTACATGAAAACAATCGGAAAAGTGCAGTATTTTAATACAACTTCTTCGGTGAAATGGAAACATGATGCTTCCAGTTGTTTGATACATGTAAAATTCCCATATCCACCACAAAGTTCGGGAGAATAGTTACAATAACAAAGGCTTCTTTCATCCTCATACTTCGGAAATACCTTGAATAATTTGAAAATACTTATCATCTAAAAACCTTAAAAGTAAAACAAAGTTAAATGACTCTTTTTTTAAATACATATAAATAACCAAGCATAATATTATGCATTCAAAAAGGATTAAGATAAGCTTTGATTAATACGTAATTGCAACCAAAGTAAAAAGATATTATCATAATTTAAAAATTAGTCAATATAATTGAACTATTTACACAAGAAACCGATCCTCAGCAAAAAACTAACTACTACAGTAACGCAGAGTTATTAGAAATAATATGTTTCTAAACTTTTTTTCATCTTACAAAAGGACATACAGATTTCTTTTCCCAAGCAGCTTCGGACCCACTTTTGTTTGACATCAAATAATGAGGCTGTCCTTGTGCATCAAGAGGTATTGATAAGTCAGCATCTGCGTCGTAGCGTTCAGCCGAATCGATGTTTTGATTACGAGCTTGAAATGAAATCAATATAATCTAAAATAACTGATAAAAGTTTGCTTTCTAGAGAAAGGAAATGAACGGTATGGGCGCTGTAACAAGAAATTTGCGATCACACTAATAAAAGCGAATTAGAGCGAAATTTTAAAATAACAAAATTTTTGGCTTAATCAACGGACCGTAACTATGTAAATCTCCGTTTATCACAATGTCGATAAACATTAGCATTGACATAACTTTAGGCATATCCACCATAACATAAGCCATACTTCATCTGAAAATTAAGTATTTCAAGTTCAAATCCCAATAATCCCAACTCTAGAATCTCTTCCTGAAGAAAGCGTTATAAACAAATTCATATTTGATAGAAGCACATCGTAATCTTCTAGATGCGACTATCACAGTGAAGTTATTGCAGTTACTTCTCCTGTGACAGTTGGAGCAATTAAAGCATAATGGAAGAAAAAAGCGAAAAGAGAACAAATAACTACTCTATTTCAAGCGTAAAGTTAAGTAATTAAGCGTTCAAGGAATGCTAGATGAAACTACAAAGTTATTAGCAAAAAACTCAGAGTCAAAAAGAATCAGTTTCGAGATTGTAAGAATTGATGATCTTGATCAGGAATGAGGACAGACTTGTGCAATAACAAATATAGCAGTAGAACAAGAAGCGAGAAAGTATGAGCTGTCCTCGATGGCATTAAAATACCACAAACTAAACCAAATCAAATAATGTTCGCATGTATGTGCCTGTAAGCGAGTGCGCATATATTTGTATATGTGATGCGTGTAAGAGTGAGTGTGAGCAAATAGTAATAATTGTGGAGGCGTGGGCAAACTCGCAAATTATAATACAGTGCTGACAAGACGACGCCATAAGTAGTCAAATCGTCTCATGCTGTGATCTGAACTTGCAACATGTACTTTCATGCATGTTTGTGCACAATTTACGAGCAGAGCAAACCTAGCTCAAACTAGGCTGAAACCAAATAAGAAACAATGCGCACTAACTGCTTACCAACTGCCATGATGTATTGTCAAATATGTCTCTGACTTATGATTCTGATCACATTCCATTTCCTTATAGAAATGAAGAAAAACAGTTGCCTTCGACCGCATTCTTAGCTTCTATCACTTTTCGTCCAGAAAAGCCCTATCAAGAGTTGCCTCAACACATTAACCACATAAGTGAGCATTTACATGCTTACAAATTATGTCGAAATTATAATGCCCTGCACACATCCACAACTTTTCATAAACACTAATCAGAGACCCTTATCCATAAAAGATATTTCCGTGTTCTGTCACCACAAACTATCAAGAGGGAGACCAACTGTAGTAACCACAACCAAGTCAACTTCTATGCACATATACATCAAATCTGTCTCGAACACTTGCTGAGATGAACCTGTCACACATCACTCCGAACAAGCAACCAATATATTCAAGATAATGGAGTATTATATACTACTACATTAAAAAACACACCAGCTTCCAACACACCTTAAGAATATCTAGCATATCCCGATGCAGCAAACGTACTATCAAACAAATGAAGTTCTTCATTTTTCCATGTTTCAGACGGAAAAAAATGACTACAGGAAATAAACAATACGTACAACATAAGAGAAAATTATGTAAGTATATAGACAGACGCATACATAATATATATGCATATACATATATATAAATATATATATAATTTATTTATTAATAACAACAATAATTACAGTATAAAACACAATCTAACGAAATTTTAAATAACTCCAAAAACAAGTACAAGACAAAAATATGTCTCAAAACTAAGTTTGATTAGATGCAATACAGAACAAAAATGAGAGAAAGCAATGATGAGCAAACAAATTACCAAATACAGGAAAATGAAGAAATAATTCTGAGAACAAAACCGTAACTGGAAGGAATTCCCGACCCCCTATAATTACGCAATGCTTTCGTTTTAATTACTAAGAACCACTGACCTAGGACCCTTCCAACATTTCTCAGAAACTGCTACGAGCAATAAATAAGCAATAACTACACAAACTAAGGGATGAATGGAAATCAGTACTCTTTTACATCTCTTCAAGACATTTTAATGGTTTTTACACGTAGCATATCTTTTCCAGTTCTGTATGTCCTCACCACATTAGATTTGGTAAACGCAAAATAAAATGTCCTCCTGCGAAAGAAGCCGATAATTTCAGCAAAAAACTATGCAGAAATTTCAAAGGTAACGAACGATAGTTCGCAACTAAGCTCAATAATTATAGAAGATAAAAAATATAAAACATAAATATGTGGAAACCACTGCAATGACGAAAAACTATCATTGCAACAAAATGAATGTAACCTACTCCAAGAATCCCTATTTATGATCAACTTTTCCGTTTCAATGGGAACATAAAGTTAATGAAGTATATTTTAGAATATCCTCACTTAAAACGAAACTTTAATTGCAAAATATCAGCGTGCAGTCCTTTCCTTCATGACTTATCTTATGACTATAATGTAATAAAATTTAAGAGGTATGAATCAAATACAATTCTAAAAGAATGAATGAACGAGCATAAACATCAGTTATTTTGATACAGTTTGAAGTAAGATTATGATATAGTTTTCCGTCTTGCTTATACCCGTAAAAACATGCTACTCAAGCAATAAAGATTATAGTTCAACGACATAAAAGAGGCAGTTTAAAGTGATTGCATTCCATACCAACTGCACAATAATAACAACTAGAAGCAAAACAAAAAACATGTTATAAAGCACAAAATACAACAACAGAAAATTATTATAATAACTGCTTTACTTGATCCATTTACATGATGGCATATTGAAGCAAATTCCACTAAATATTTGAAAATAATATGCCAAAACTAGGTGAAAGATAACTAAATAAAATTCATCAATAGGTATGTGAACCCGAAGTGAAAGATGTAAGAGGAATAATATTATGACTAGCTGGTGAGGATGAAATAATTGCCTCGTAACTGTCCTTGTAATGGGATGAATTTGAGCACTTCTTTAGTACCGGTACTGGAACAATAGTAACAGCACGACCGTTATCACTACGAATGTCAGTATGAGAAGCATTACGAAGATGAGCAGTTGGGACAGCTACATTCGGATGATTCTCCACTGATGTGAACGACGAGCAATCTCTTTTCATACCATTTTTCATTAAGTGTGTACCAACATGATCAGCTGTAATTTCGTGGCAAAACTATTACCACAATAAGAGGCATTAAATATGCAGGCAAGAAAAAAGAATATCTCTTCCACACAAATTACATTATTTTGACAGACAGTAAAAATCTCTCCGTGATTTCAGAAAACCATGTCGCATCAGCAAGCAAATTCCTAAAAACATGTTATGTGGCATTTACAAATAGAAAAAAAAGTGACAGAAAGAAGAGATATTCCAAAAAATGAAATGAAAATTATTATTATTCGACTTGAGATGAACGAAGTGAATAAATCGATAACAGCCTTTCCCGATGAATGATTGTAAAATTGAGCCATAAAAGTAGTACCACCTGTCCAACTATCCTTTTTCCATTGGAAAATTAAGCATGTAAGGAATGAATTGTACATAATCTCAAGCATACTTTTTTACTACATCCTTGATATAAACTTTTGCAAACTTGATATGGAAATGACTGAATTCATTTACCATTATTATGTTAGCAAACGTTTTTATAGAAAAGATCGATTATGATAAACATATGTGAAAATTGGTCTTAAAACGGAACTAACCTCCAAACAGTTTTTGCGCCCCACTTTCAGCTTGAATAACTTTTGTTTTATGCATCTGCCTAGAATCAGTATGCTGCTGAACTCGACATGAGTTGCAACTCGACTTATGTCTGCTTTTACTTGCAATGTTATTTCGTTGCATACTACCCATCATGGGGTAAGAACGTAAACCCTGACCTGAAAAAGCAGATATTTCATTTTGGTCAACAGATTGACCATTTCCTCTATTATAGAAAAAAGATCTTTTTAATAAACATAGGTAAAGCTAAAACTGCCAATCCTTCCTCTAATTCACCATAATTATATAATATATTACATTGCAACTGGTAAAATTGAACTTTTGATGGCATTAAGTTTTGCACTTACTCTGATACAAATGATCTTTGGAACTTCCATGAACTATAACATTAGTACCACAATTGCTCGCTTCCACTGGATAAGTGTTTGCTTCAATACCAGTTGCAGCAAAGTGATGAGCATTATGTGTAGTACGTTTCACACAACGCATATTATCTACAATGAGATGATAAGTTTTAGACATGGACCCCATACACCTTCTCTCCAGTTCTTATGACGTGTGATATGACTGAAAAGATAACTTCTGCAGCTTTTGGAAAAAAATTATATTTTCCTTCCGTAACTATTTCACACAGCTCAGATTAGCCACGGTTCAACCATAACGTTAGCATTTTTAAAATTTTAGCAGCCCCTTAATTCATCAAATTAGTAGTTAACTATAACGTCTGTCTTAAATCTATCGATATTCAAAAATTTCTTTCCACTTCCTTTCCGTCATTACTTACATTTATTTATTTCACCATCTTACATGCCTCAAACAACGTTTTAGTAGCAAATAAACTGATTTTCAGCAGGAACTTTCATCACAGATTTATAAGTAGATCATTCTACTGTGATAAAATCATGAACAATTTCGATGAAGAAATAGAAATAAGTTCGAATTCTAACGTACTTTATTATCTGTTTTTTATATTAACATTACTTCCGAATACAACGTAGTTTCAGAATTTGATGTACACAAACATACCATTTGCTAGAGTTGAAGAACGCACTCGATGTGACACTCCAGGATGCACTTTCTGAATAGTAACTTGTCGCATCGTTGGCTCGGTACGAGATTGATGTTCTAATCGTCGTGCCTCCCTACAGCCAAATTCATTTGTTTCCTTCGAATGATCTTTTCCATGCCTCTACAACAGCTGGTTTTACAGCAATGATGGAAAATAGAACGCAAAATTATTTATATCTACAAGAAATATATCAATATCGTCTCCATATTATTGACAACTAATAAAAGAAGAAATTTACACCAGATTAAATGAACTAACGTGGTGTAATTGACTACGATCAGCAAAACGTGAAGACTTTGTTGGTATATAGACATATCGGTATTCTGGACGTATCACTGTCTTACCATGAATCGGTACGTAAACCTCATGGGGAGTTACTTCTGATGCAACAGGCCGTTGAGCAGCAGAATTAGCATGAGAACGGACAGTATGACGTGACGACACTTTTTTTTTAGCTACATAAGGCATATAACTTGAGCTCCTAGAAAAATTTGGTCAACATTAGAAGTTGCATAACTTCTAAGCAGTAAAATTTAGTCATAAGTTTTTTTGTAAACGGAATAAAAGTCACATAATAGCATCAACATGAGAATAAAATGTCTTGAGATAGTAAAATAAAAAGATGAATGAAAGTAATGGAAATATGGCGATAAACAGACCCTATTCGATAAATATGACTAAAGCAGAAATTGACTTGTTTACAACTAATTTTTGAACAAAAATGATTCCTTCAATTAAGCTAGTATTTATTGAAACACTTCAAACAAAATACCGAGCTCTACAAACGTCAGTGGGTGGCATTTGATTGTAGCTATAGAGATGTTGGGAAACTGAACTTGAAGGAATTTTTAATGCTGGATTTTCTCCCAAAAGTAAGTGGTTATAATTTCCTTGCACATCATAGTTCATGTGGTTCAAATATCGTTCTGTTTCTGAATGAATGATATTATAGAGTAAAAAGAAAAAATTATTGGACATTAGAATACAAAATTTGCACCTTCAGGAAGAAATAAAGATTTGATGAAAAAGCAAAATGAGCAAATGCTTACTACCGTCTGTAGATTGCATTGATGTGCGTTTTTCACGAGGTACACGGTCCATCATATTGCAATGAAAATTTGATACCTGCGGCACTCTTTCCGAACTCGATAAATCATTAACTCTGTAAATACAAATATTAATTAAAAAAAAGACCATATTTTTGGGAAATCCCACAATGAAAAGTCAGAAATTTTCAAAAAAAATAATAATGTAAAGAGTAAACACATGGCTGAGATTCAACGGAGCTATGCCGGAAACAAACCCTTGAATATGCTTCGAGAAAACATCGGGAGAAGGAAATTTTGTTTGAGATGGGTAACCTACAGTCGTTCTTCCATTGATTGGTACTGTCAATAACCTAGCATTTGGGTAATAAATCTTTTGTTCTGGATCGATATAATCATCAGGACATGATACACTGCTAAAATTTATTAGTATTAAAGAACCTAAGAGCAAACAATTATATAAAGATTTTTCATCATCTTAAATGTTATTTAAGCACCGTTTTAGAGCTCAGCAAAAAGAGCAGACAAAAATAGTTAAGTCTAACTCCTAAAAAACAAAATAGAACATGAAAAATTCACTCATCACAATACGACTTGAATGTTGGTGACGAACAAATCCGCATATTTTTTTTCTGTGGTACGACAGCAACCTGAAAAGATTTGCTATATCTAGCTTTTTTTGCTAATTTTCCGCAAAAGATGAAACCCAGTAATTTTCAGGAATTTCACAACCTAATATTCAATAACCCTTCACAAAATATCGGAGTTAACTATGATTTTGGAGGAAATAGAAAGAAAGCTTACCGAAACAACTCTTGGATGAGCTTGCTGATGAGGAAGACATATAGTCTGCTGTACCATTTGAGGAGATTTGCCCCAAAAATCATTAACCATGTAATCAAACTGATCTTGTTGCAGATATCCATTTTTATTATCGTCTAAGATCTCTTGTTGTGGATAATTATATAAGCATCTAGAAAAATATGATGAAAACAACAAAAAGTTTATAGATTGATAAATGATTCATCGTAATTGTAATTGCTCTAAGGACAAAAATTCTTGCACATAAATTTTCCAAAATAAATGTATAAAGTAAAAACACTGATATACTCTGAATGACAGCCACGCAATTCAGCTTTTGATACTAATGATGCTTCAAAAAAGAGCAACTTACGGCTTAATAGGTACAAGTTTTTCCGTGATATTGTGATGCAACGTTTTTAGATGACCATCACTTTCAGGATCAACATGTTCCTCACTGTCTATACCCACGTACCTTTCTTCACGAAGAGCGTCGTCAAACATATTCAAATCCTGATTTGCATTTAAAGATGAAGGTTGTGGGACCACTCCATATCTAACAGGAATAATTCTTTCACGTGGTTGCACCATGTTTCCTTGCATTTGATCATGACAAACTTCATCTGGTGTGACTTTAGATGTTGCAAACAAATTTGTACTGTATCTTCCACTCAGTGCCGGAGAAAGATGAGGAGGTGATGGCACATAAAATCGATTTAGGTCGGGATCTTCAGCTAAGTGATTTTCCATATTTGGATCTTCCAAAAGTGCTGTATTTTCAGCCCAATTCTGTTGCAGTACATCTTTTTCTGAGCTAAAAAACTTTGGATATGATGTAAGAATCGATTCGCCAAAAATTTGAAACTTTGTTTTTACAATACGCTGTTTCCTAACAAGTCCTTCAGAAAAGCCTTTCTCACAGTCATTTTGCATGACCATAGTGTGCCTGTAGAAAGAACGTACTGCAATTCTTCAAGGATTGAAGGAAAAGATAATGAAACATTCTAATTTGTTTTTTTTTTCTTTTCAAAACGGTGCCAGCAATCTTATATGTATTACTTTTAATTAATGATCACAAAAAATGCCCAAGCTTAAAATTATGAATAAATTTTAACTCGAACAGCGTGTTTCATGAAATAAGCTTGTTTTCAGGAAATGAAAGTTCGATGTTCATAAAATTCAAAAACCTACTAACATACACTATATTTGTCTTTATATTAAATGGATTCTCCAAATTTTGAAACAACTAACCTAAACCATGAATAGGGTCCCAAATCGCCAGACGAATCAGCAAAATTCAGAACCAAATCACTGTCACATTGTCCAGAACAACTTTCTGCTTCTATCCGTGTATGCGCATCATACGTTGTCCTACCATCACCTTCTAACCTTTCTATGCTGTCATTTTCCTCTAATACACTTTCTAGTTGTACATTTGTATCTTTTAGTAAAGACGGAGAAGCAGTATTCGTCCGGCCCATAGCAGGAACGTCTAAATCAACTTCATGAGAATAGTTATGTTGAGAACATGGCGTTCTACCAATATAAACATCGTTATCAAACTTGCTATCGTCCCCATTATTCTGCAGATGCCTTGATACTGGTTCACTCTCTTTATTGTCAGATTGCCCTGAAAGTTTTCCACAAACTAAAAACTGTACAACTTTAGAGCAATTACGCATACACTTGAAGGAAATGAAAGAATCTTAATCTAAACTTTGTGCCTGATAATGTAAACTGTTACAACAATAGACAACGCTTCGTTCACTTCCTGATAGAATAACTATAGTGATATCGGAAGTTCTGAACTGGAAATGTATCTACAATAGCATAAAAAGAGGTAAAAACTGGTACTTTCAACAGATGAGTGTTTTTTCTGTCGGGAATGTTCCGAAGAAAAGTTATCTTCATGGGATGAATCTCGCTTTCGTTTCCTTTCTTTCTTCTTTACAACTGCACCATTTAGGTGCTTGTCAACTTTGGTGGTAATATCGACTTTCTTGGCACCATGATGCTTAGTTGAGTTATTTGTTACATTTTCCTCACTTCTCGCCTGTTTATATTCACAGGAACAATAGTTTCCCAAGCAATGTACAAAGGTAAATAATTGGAAAAGATTAGATGAAAATTGCTTATTTAACTCATGAGCCTTACCAAAAACCTCAAATGTCACAACTTTGGAACTAATTAATGAAAACTTACGTTACGCCTCGACACTCGTAGAGAAAGTTTGAGATTATTTTTCTGTTTAACGGAGTATCCTGTTGAGGTAGCTTGAGAAATGATATTTCCATTTCGACCTGAGCTTTCTCTAAAATTTTACAAAATTATCAATATTATTCCGTTGTACATATATATACCACATGAATACTAGTTTCTCAAACAAAGTACAAAGGTAAATAATTCAAAAAGATCTGATGAAAATTGCT